GTGAAGATCATCGGGTTGTCGTGTTGACCGATTCGAATTAAAAAGTGGTCCACAGCATTAGTGGTACGCCCGTCGATGCCTGTCGCGTTCCGGACTGTGAGGCGATGAATCCCATTCTCAACGCCGGTCAGAGTAGCGGTCCATGCCCAAGCTGCTGGTATCTGGCCAGAGTATGACACTTTATCATTCACGATAGCTCCACAGTCGATAGTGTTCAAGTCAATGGATGGGGTCGCCCCTGTTTCTGTTGATGACTCAAGAGAGATTGCTTGCGAAAACATCGTGCAGTTCATCTCAGTTGAGAAGAACAAACCAATATCAAGGGTCTCATGCTGCCCAGGTGCGACCTTGGAAAGGACGGGAACGTCATGCCCAGGAGTGAATTTCGTGATCATTGGACGAGGAGATAAAAATTTCTCTTTTGGAACGTAGGCCCTAAACTCATAGGGCCGAAGTGTTAGGCTATCAAGACAACCGTTCGGTTCTTGTGATCCATTGAGATGTAGCTTTACTACACTGTCTTTGATAGTCAGTTCGTCGTGTGGATAGAAGAGATTCTTAACAGTCGTATTGGTCTCAAATGGGGCCACGAGGGCTGCGACGGGGTTGGAGCAGTCGAAGTCGTAAGTCACGGTCTTGTTATCGTTTTGATAGACGAACCAGATGGTCTGATTTCCCGCTTCTCCAAGATCTTGTTCTTGATAGTATGGACTACGCAAAACAGACCACATGCCTGTCTCGGTCGGTAAACCATTCGAGCCCGGGTAGTAGATGTTATGCGTCTGGTTTGACAGCAACTGGATCCACCAGCCATCATTAAGTGCAGGGAAGTCCTCTCTCATTTGATACATGTGCTTGATAATATTTCGCATGAAATGGGAAGGATCGCGATGATCATACGTGGCGGTCTCATCGTGACAACCTACTCGCCCAGATTTGATCGGCCAGTTGAAATATTGTTCTGAAATCAGCTCAAAGCAACCATGAGTCTTCCATGCCGTTGCTGGGGACATAGCCTGCCGACCGTAGATGTAGTTTGAAGCTGTCGCGTCAAGAATGTAGAATGCTTGCTCTTCACCCCAGAGTAGTAATGGTATTCCAGGCAAATGCAGTGTTGTGATGAAGAGACCAAGCAGATGTCTCTCAATGCCCATATCAACGGTCGGCCAGCGGAAGACATCTTGATTTGTCACTCCATACAGATGACGCGGATCAAACTTTCCAGTGTTTGCGTTAATTAGGTCATTAGTGAGAACTATCTCGTACCACGCTTCAGTCCAGTTGACTGGGATATCATAGCCAGCTGCCAGGTTTCCATCCATGCCCAAAAAGCGAGTCAGAGATCGGTAAATTGAATAATGAAATGCAGCGCCATCAATAGCTTGTTGATTCTCATTCCGAAGAAAGAAGGTCGAGTCCGACGAGTTTGTCAAATGAAATGCTTCCTCTAGCGTCTTAGGAAGCATATCAGGCTGACGGCCACGACCAAGAAAGATAGAGCCGAGGTTGTTTCCAACGGTTATTTCTCCCGGTAAGAAGAAGTTGGTCTTGCCAACTCGCCGTGCACATTCTCTGTAGGCTCCCGAGATATCACCTAGCGCATCGACGGTGGCCTGTGTGGCTTTGTCGTATCGAAAACCATCAATGTCCAGAGAGGAAATAATGATACATGAGTGCCGGATGAGTCGTTCTCTAACGCTTGGTACCCACTCTCGAAGACGGTCTTGAACAGAAGCAAATTTGGCTAGTTCACGTTGCCAGTCGGGGTAAACCCCAAAAGCTTCAATATCACCGTATTGATCGAAATCACTGTTATAACACCCCTTCAACTCTTCTTGAACGTACCCATCCACGGGATACCCGGTCTCATTCCAGAAACGTGGATATTCACAGGTTTGGTTATAGTTGTTGCCGAAATGAAAATCAACATAGTGACGATCTGACTTCCACTGTGCTTTGTGCTCCCTTGTCGAGAATGGAGCGGTCGTGTTGAGATACCCTTCAAACCCGATCAAGTCTCCCATACTAGATTGGAAGATCAATATAGTACTCGTGAACCGACTATGATGGTGCATGTACTTACGTAGCAACGGTATTGTCAAATATCACGTACATTCCTCGATTGTGAATCTCCGTAATCGCATCTCTCCAGGTCTGAATTGTGCCAAAGTGCTGATCAAGTAGGGTGGTATCAAGGGCTGAATAACCATCGGAACCCCATGGCTGATTCATCAAGACTAACCCAGCTAGGTAAATTCCCTGAAAAGAAGTCATCAGTGAGAAAGGCAGAATTTAGAGTGCATATGTTAGGTTAATGCAGACCTTGATTCCCATGCCTTGCAGATAATCCAAGGTATCTACCAAACCGACCACGTCACCGCCGTGACGCATCTGGTTGGAGTTCAAGTCATGCTCAAAGAGTGTACCATTGCTGTTGTCATTTGTTGGGTCCCCATTCACAAATCGGTCAAGAAACAGAGTGTATATCGGAAAACGCCAGTTATCCGGTGAAGGGAAGTATGTGTGATTGGGCCATTCACCCCAATATTCGGCAGGATCGGTTGCTTCTTTGTTCTCGTTGAGATTGAAAGAAGTGAGAGATTCGTCGTACGGCCAACATAGCCCTTTCACCGCAAGATGGACGAGGACTATACCTCCATACTTCCAATGCATGGTAATTTTGTCGTTAGAACTATCCCCCGAAGTCGGCAAGCTTAGAACTTGTGAGCCGAGAGGAAGGGAAATCGTAAGAGATCAGAGGACGAAACAGCTAATATTCACATCAAATTATCCCTACTATATGGTCAATCTCTCTGAAGTCCCAAATGCGTATGAAGTCCGCCAAAAAGAATAAGGCGCAGGCTCCGGCGAGAAAGGAGCAAAATAATCACAATAATTCACGGAGTTGCTCGAGGGCTTTCAGAAGACCCAGTGTCTTTCAAAAGTGTCACAGAAACTAACCTTATCAATGTGCATCAAAGATCTAAAAGAATCCTTTGGAAACTTAAACTTTGACTTGAAGGACCCAAGTGCCGAGCTTGAGAAATACGACTAGGATGGCGGACCGTCAGCCCAGCAGGTTCCAAATGAAGTGCTCACCAGTCTACCCGACTCGCTTACTTAGAGATTAGAGAACCGAGAGAGAATTGAGTCTTGTTGTAACCCTTGGAAAGAAATAAGAAAGAGTTGTGAGGAAGTGGTTGAAGACGAGAAATAGGAAAGGGTTGAAACAGCAAAAATTTCACCACTTACTATGTTCCAAGTCTCCAACACTTCGCAATTGTATACTAGGTGATAATTTCACGCCTTTTTGAAGGTAGGAGTAACATGAGGGTAGAAGCGACAAGCTCCAAAATGCACGGTGGCATTGAGAGAACTGTTTGCAGGAGGCAGATAGCATGGTACACATCAGGAACCTCTCGGGGGCCGGCGGATAGTCGTGGTTGGAGGATACTATTTTGAGGAACTGTGTGCTTAGATACATAGCTCAGTGCTGTCACACGATGGGACAATATCCTCTGAAAGCTCCCGGCAATATCCATAATTATTTGCATTACCGGCGGCCTTGGTGGAAAGCCAGCGTCTCGATAATGGTAGTAGGTATAGCATGCAGTGCATGTTTTACGGAGAACTGTAATACCTTAGTATTGAATATCGCAGGATGAGGTGATTTACTTAGGCAGAACAGATAAGTGGAGTACAAGCAGCGGAGACTTAAGATCGGTCGAATTTCAACATCGACGGCAAGTCAACAAGGATTATCTTGCTAATAGAGGATACAGGTTCTTCTTCAATTGTCATATTGTGAATCGAGCAATGTGATTCCATAGACTATTACCCCTGCAGCTTCCAGTCATCATTGAATGTTATGCATAGGTCGAGGTTCTGAACCTTATCAATTTCTCAGTGTCTAACTCTTGTAGTATAGTCGAAGGGTAATTTGATCCATTGACAGTACTTTCAAGAGCTACTGCTCGATCAAATTGAGAAATGGGTCTAAGTTTGTATTCCAACCGCTGTAGCATCAGCGCCTAAGGACATGCGGAGTACAACGACCAGGGTATTCGTCTATCTATCATGTTTTCGATGACTCCTACTGCATAGCAATATTTATCGGTGATACTGCTGTCTGCATTTCACACGTTCTGTCAATAAATTGCGAATATAACAAGCTGGCATGAACACCTTCTTTCTGGTAAATATCTTCAAGATATTTCCGTCATGTTATGTTTCGGTATCCTAGTTACCGAAAATCCGGGAATCCGCTTACCTTTCGCTTGGTGCTAACTCAAGAACTTGATAGCTTGATGACAATTCTTTTTCGACGCCACGTTGGGTCATCTGCGCTCTACCTCTTGTGCAACTGGTTGTGCCATAATGACTAGATGGTTGGCCATGCTCGCGAGGGACATCTACAGCTTGCAAGGTGCGTTCCGATAACCGGTTGAAGAAGTCACCAACGGCCTGTTGAGTTTTAAACATGCTTGACTGATCTTGTTTTCCCGACTTTTTTGTACTCTGTACCCCAAAGGGTCCAGAACGATGAAGACCGTTGGCAGAACTGTTAAATTAATAGGGAACCTAGTCCTGCCGTGCTTGTGTACTAGTGCCTACATTATACTACGCTAGATACGGCGCCGCACATACAAAATGCACAAGTCTTCCCGGTCAGATTGGCGCCATAAGTAAGGCTACAATCTGCACATTATTGCTTCGGGTTTATAGGTCAGTTCTCGTTGTAAAACGTGCCAGCCTGACTTCTCCAATCTATATCATGGCCTTAGGTATCTGTTTGAATATCTTTAATTGGATTATCTCAGGTCCCAAGAGCTTGATGAATCAGCCGGAAACCGCGCATTGAAGACTGGCCTAGATTCAAAGCTTGTCCTATCGTAGACCCGTGTTGTGGCACGCAATCAGCCATTGGGAGATCTTCGGAAGCGGCGAACTTTAGCTTCGCAGCCCTCCAATTAAAAAACACCATATAACTCCAAGCAGTCCCGTTGGGCGAGGAATTTCAGTAAGTGCCTTGCTCCATGGTATACTTGAGGTCCCCTAGTCGCCTAATCTACGCTCAATGCCAATGAACGGAAGAACCCCCATTGTCCTCTTTATAGCTCTGGACAGTAACCATAGGAGACGTTCTCCCTCATGCATGAACATCGGTGAATGGAAGTTATGCATGTCTGACACGAGACTTAATTGTCTGTAGCGTCGTTCTCCAGAAGAATGCCCCTTCCCATACGGTCTGAGCGCGATCAGATCTTCATTTTCTACGCGTTAGGATAGGGTCTGTTGGAGCTCCTAGGTCGTGTACAGTGCCTGCCTTATTCAGAAGACGCCAAAACGAGTTTGTTTGGTCCTATGCTGTGTTTTGTGTGACCGAAGCCTGCTCGTATATCCGGATTGATTGTCTTCCTGCTCGCCAGTGTCATTTATTTTGCCCGATACGATTGAACTAAGCTTAGTATCGCCGGTGACATTGACTCCATCCGAGACATTGAAGTGGTCTTCGGGGAATTTGGCTGACATGTACGACATGTTCTCCAGGGGTGCTTTAGATATCCGGGAGCAAAGGAGCTTCATGGCGTGACTATCTACTCATCATGGTGGGAGAGATTGATCAATTTTCACACACAGACCAAGACACTGGAAGAAGTGGTATGTGAACGATAGAGTTTCCTACTCCCCGATTGGAGCGGGCTTTGGGCAACCCAGACGATAAAGGCATGTCCTACCTGTTCGTGGGTAAGCCTTGCTGCTAATTCACTCTTCGGCAGATATCGCATATAGGAGGGCATTTGACTTCAAAGGAGCTTGCAAGATAAGCACGGCACGAGGACAAGTGGTCTTTGTGAATATATAGATTGGAGTCACTCCGGGCTATCCTGGTATCATTAGGTAGTCCTCTTTTTTAAGGTCTCATACATCGTTTCTCATTTCCGGCCCAATTTACTCGGCACCGTAGCGAGCCCGGTAGTCCTTCAGCCGCTGGATTTCAGCGGCACCGATTTTGTCGCCCAACTTCTCGATCAAATCGTGCAGACCAATGACCGAGCGAATGGGGATGTTGCCGCCGAGATCCCGCTGGGCAACTCCGATAGCGCTCTTGGGCTCGGAGTCGCTGACCCGCTCCTCACGGTCGAGCAGGACAACGACACCGGCAACAATACCACCCTCTTTCTCAATGATGCCAACGGCCTCACGCAGCGCAGTACCGGCAGTAATCACATCGTCGACGATGACGATCCGCTTGCCCTTCAGCGGAGCGCCGACAATGTTTCCACCCTCGCCGTGTGCCTTGGCCTCCTTGCGGTTGAAGGAGTAGCTGACGTTTTCCCAAGTACCCTTGGGCGAGCCGGAAAGCGAGTCACGGACAGCGAGCTCGTTGGTGACAGCAGCGCAGATGGGGATTCCCTTGTAAGCGGGGCCGAAGATGATATCGAAGTTGGGCTTGGTGGTGCCGTCGGCGGCGGTGGTCACGAAAGGCTCGGCAGAGAGGACGCTCGCGTAGGCGGCAGAAGTGGCGCGCAGGAGGGGCGCAGTGTGCAGGAGCGAGGAGGTGAAGAAGTAAGGCGATTCGCGACCGGACTTCAGCACGTAAGTACCGAACGAAAGGACATTGTTCGAGATCAGCAGCGGCAGGAGGGTGGACTTGTAGTCCTGATCGGCGGAGGAAGGAGCAGCAGACATGATGACGAGTTCAAGTCTTCTTCGTTGGTATCAAAGGAGGGAGAGAGGTCGTGGAAAAGAAGAAGTTGGGATTGAAGGTCAAGAAAGTCACGAACAATTGAAGATCAAAATGGGTCAAAAAATGTAGCGGGCGATAAGCGGCCGCAAAAGGAAAATTTGCCCCAGAACCCTGCTCGCCCAAGGAGGGGCATGAGGGGCAGGCCATGTTTCCCAAGGGCCATCTTCACGATCCTTCCCAAGGAGTAACGAGGGGATAGTAAGGGATTGAAAGGGTCTATTACCCCGTATAAACCGTCAGTCTGTAGTTTTATTGGCCATTATCTCCTTTCTGGTGCCAATCATCCCCTTCTTCGTGGGCAGAACACGTGCCTCCGATCGCCGGCCTCCCCCGCCAAACGTTCCAAACGTTCCCAAAACAGTTCAACTTTCCTTTTTTCCCCAATCCACCCCCCCCCCGGAGCCTCAACAAACCCCCCCCCTTATCTCTCTACAATCCTCAGTCGGGTTGGTTTTCTTGGGTGTTCGCCTGTGAGACGCTATCGGTTCTGGGTGCTACAGCATACTGGTCGAGAATCCCGGTGATCGGAAGGCCCCGCTGCAAAACAGCCCCATAATAGCAGTCCCCTGAAGGTGCCACAGCCGTCGAGGAGCGATTCCTTCGATAGTTGAGTCTTGGTAAGAACCACTTTTCTTTGTTTTTTTTTTTAAGGGAAATTCGTACCAGCGGATACTTTTGTGCCTTCCCTCGCTGGTTTCTATCCAGACACGACTGCTTACACAACCCGCGGGGTAGGTTGACGCGACACGATGCATATTCGAGAAAAGCTCGCAAGTAAGGAGGCTGCGGGGGAGCCCAGCATCTCCTTCGAGTTCTTTCCTCCCAAGACCGCTCAGGGTGTGCAGAACCTTTATGATCGAATGGACCGCATGCATGGTTTGGGTCCCTCGTTCATCGATATCACATGGGGTGCGGGCGGTCATCTCTCTGACCTGACCTGTGAAATGGTCGGTGTGGCTCAATCGGTCTATGGTTTGGAGACATGCATGCACCTAACGTGCACTGATATGCCCCTCGAAAAGGTGGACCAGGCGCTTCAGGCTGCCTACAAGGCTGGCTGCACCAACATCCTGGCCCTGAGAGGTGACCCGCCACGTGACAAGGAGACTTGGGAGGCCACAGAGAACGGATTCCGATATGCGAAGGACCTGGTCAAATACATTCGCGAGAAGTATGGCAATCACTTCGACATTGGCGTGGGAGGCTACCCGGAAGGTGCCGATGACAACCCGGACGTGGATCTCCTGATAGATCACTTGAAGGAGAAGGTGGATGCCGGCAGCTCTTTCGTCATTACACAGATGTTCTACGATGTGGACAACTTCATTGAATGGGTAAAGAAGTGCCGAGCCAAGGGTATCAATGTGCCCATCATTCCCGGTATCATGCCTATCCAACAATATGCTTCTTTCATCCGACGTTCCAACTGGACCAAGACTCGCGTACCGCCGGAGTGGATGGAGGCTCTGGAGCCCGTCAAGAACGACGATTCTGCCGTGCGAGAAATTGGTAAGCGTCTGATTGCCGACATGTGTCGCAAGGTGATGGCGTCCGGCATCAACCATCTGCACTTGTAAGTGAAGTTATCGCTCTGAATTGATCTATGACAGTCTCTATTATCTTGTGCTGACAATATTGTGTTAGCTACACAATGAACTTGGCGCAGGCAACAAAATTGGTGCTGGAGGAGCTGGGTCTCGCTCCCTCCGATGAAGCTCCTATCCAGCGGGCTCTGCCATGGCGGCCTTCCCTTGCTTTGGGCCGGAGAGGCGAAGATGTGCGCCCTGTCTTCTGGCGCAACAGAAACTCATCATACGTTGCCCGCACGCAGACATGGGATGAGTACCCCAACGGTCGCTGGACCGATTCTCGATCGCCTGCCTTTGGTGAGGTTGATGCATATGGAGTTCGGCTCAAGGGAACCAACGAGCAGAACATCAAGCTGTGGGGCGAGCCCAAGTCTATCAAGGATCTCTCCGAAATCTTCGTTCGCTTCTTGGAGGGCAAATTGGACCGACTTCCTTGGAGTGACAGTCCCATCAGTGCCGAAGCTAATGACATTAAGGATCTCTTGGTCGACCTGAATCGGAGAGGTTTCTTGACCATCAACTCCCAGCCGGCTGTCAACGGTGTGAAATCTTCTCACCCGATCTACGGATGGGGTCCCAAGAACGGTTTCGTCTACCAGAAGGCATACCTGGAACTCCTGGTTCCACCTTCCTTGATTGATGAGCTCGTCGCTCGTATCGACAAGAACAATGATCTGACATACCACGCCATCCGCAAGAACGGCGAGCTGCGGACCAACACTCATGACAGCCCGAACGCTCTGACTTGGGGTATCTTCGCCGGACGAGAGATCATTCAGCCCACCATCGTCGAAACGGTCAGTTTCTTGGCCTGGAAGGACGAAGCGTACCGGCTGGGTGAGGACTGGTCCAAGTGCCACGATTCCTCCAGTCCTAGTCGCAAGTTGATTCAGCAGGTTATGGATGACTGGTACCTGGTTAACATTGGTAAGTACATATTGTCTCGTCAAAGAAATCAATTAGCTAATGTATCTTTCTCTAGTCGACAACGACTTCCACCGAAACAATGCCGTCTTCGAACTGTTCACCGACCTCGAAGTCAAGGATCTCAACGTCGAGGTCCCCGGCAAGCCGGAGACCAACGGCTCCACGGAGCAGAACGGCGCTGCTACCAAAAACTAAAAACACTGAACCCCATTTTCTGGATCCATGATCCGGGTTCACCCTTTCAACCTTTGTCAACACTACTCACTACGATTACTACCTAATTCAACATCACCTATCTCAACGATACTCAACGATTTTAGTCCCGAAATGAATCATCCAACACCAGATTCCGGGCCCCCCTGCAATGTGTCACGGCGTCACGATTGAAGACCTCTCAACGATTTCTTCCTGAGCGTTCACTTTTGTTTTCTCATTTCAACATTCGACATTCCCTGTACCGATACCCCGTCTTTTTAACACCGACGCTTCCATCGCCCAGTCTTCTTTATTTCCTCGCATCTCACCACCCCCCACAAGCCCGGTGCTTGTGTTCTCGGGTCAGCCCGCCATCTACTGTGTGATGTCGGCGGAAAAAGGAAAGAAGACATCAAAAAATTTCAACATAATTCAGCTCCTCAGCTATTTTCCTCATCTTCATCTTCTTGTTATTTGTTTCTGATATAGATCGTGTCGAGAGCGAGCCCCATCGTTCTCGGTTACAACAAATTCCGGTTCTCTTCAAGCAGCGCTGTTCTATTTTCCACTTTTGTTTTTCTTCCTCTTCCTTGACTCGATCTACCTCCGATACTGGGATCTTGTTTCCTGGCCTAAATGATGTTTGTCTGCTCCCCATGTTTTGGACGAAGGTTCTTACAACACGAAGGTAGTGGAGTATCCTACTGGACAAGAATCTACCTGTCTTCCATAAGACTAAATTGATCAAAACAAAGAGAATAAAAAGTCGAGTTGCCCCTAACTTCAACCCGGGGAACTTGAGCGCTTCTGTGCAACTTCCGGTGCCGATCTGTAGATTTTCTGGCTGCGGCCCCCATAGTGTCTCTGCAAACTGACTTGATATGACAGCTTCAACAGGAGCAGTGCAATGAACACAAGAAGGAAAACCGGTGGAACACGAGATCACCACGTCGGATGTCCCCACAGGACCTCTAACTTTGAGGCGTGATGTATCCCCCGCTATTCTCTGGCACGGTGACTGTTGGGAACTCTTCAGGGAGTACTTGAGGATGGTGAGATGGAAAATACGAGGCTTATTCACGATCTGAACCGAAAGTTTATCAAAAATTCACAAGGCAGAGGCCGTGCAATAGCACATGTTGAAGACTCTATGGCTAGTGTAGAAATAACAGGACGCTAACGAGTGACACCCCTCATGGACGTGTTCGAATTTCAATGATCGAGGAGATAAACGCAATAACGTCAAAAACAATAAAAAAGGGAAAGAAAAGACGCCCCACTCCCACAAACGCCGTGGTTAACGCAACCAACCCTACATGCCAACCTAACTAGCAAGTAAAGTGAAAAGTCCAATCAATCCCTTCCGAGGCACGGGTATCAAGGCGCCAGCTCGCTTCACATGATGAAAGCACGAGTAAAAATATTAAAAACCCAAGCAAATGGCCTGGCAAGCCACAAGAACCAGCTTGCAATCAGCAAAGCGTAACTAGCGACCCGGTAGACAATCATTGTGCTGAAACCCAGAATTGCAAGATAAACAACAGCCTGGAGGAGCTCCATCAAGAATTGGCTGATTGCTTTGTCGTCCTCCAACTTGGGCCAAGCGCCAGTGGCTTGATACTGCGCAGTTGCATGGATGACCCGGCTGAGGACTTGGTAGCAGTGCAGAGCCATGCTCACAACGTTGCTCGCGACAAATTTGGCGTACGGGCTGTCGGTAACTTGCAAAGTAAGTCGGTGCATATTCGTAACGGCGACAACGACGATCTCGAAAATCATCGACAAAGCGACGGGGTTGGTGTTCTCTTTCGAATGGGCGTCCTTTTCTCTCGCATTCAGCACATGCAAAACTTCGCAGACGTCGTTCACGTCTGTGATATTGGATTGGAGTCTGTTCTTACGGCCAGTAACTTGGTGACCGTCCAACTCTGCGATCCCAGCAATATCAACTCCTTTCTCACTGGCCATCTTATTAGCCCGTCGGATGCGAGCCTCTTCTTTGAACTTCTCCAGCCGCTGAGCACGGGACAGCTTCCCAGGCGGCGGCGATTTCTCCATAGCGGGTGGGTTCTCCGTTGGCACCGCTTTCTCGGGAACAGGTCTCGGAGGGGATTTCTCGAATGAAGGTTTCCTTTCAGCAGGAGGTCTTTCAACTGACGACAGTTTTGAAGTGGGAGAGTCTCTCTTTGGGGATGGCCTCATAGACGGTGGTGGGGTTGCTCTGGGGGATTCTTGTGCTGATTTGAAAGACTTCTCGGAGCGAGATGAGTCGGAGTTGTCTCGCGATGGAAGAGAGATGGGCGAGCCCTTGCGACTATTACGAAGAGACTCGGCACGATTTCGCAAAGACTCAGTGCCGTTTCGAAGAATAGTAGCAAGGCTGTCCGGAGGAGATCTGACTAGTCCGCCTGACCTTGCGAGTCCGGAGGTACGGATGAACCCACGGATAGAGCTGGACGCTGTGGTTCGGTCGACCTCGGATTTCTCCTTCCCGGGGGATAACTTTCTGGGAGGTGTGCCCTTCGAAGACTTGGTTTCCTTGGTGTCCTTCGTCTTGGCTTCCTTGGCATCTTTCGGCTCTTTCATATCTTTCACCCCAATGGGCGCCTCCTTGGGTGTGGGAATGCCGCTGGGCTGTGTGGTTTTTGATGACTCCTCGGATGGCGTAATCGAGCTCGGCTGCAACGGTCCTGCTGGAGGTCGAAGCCCTGAAGGTGAAGAGATGACCTGAGCTTTCGTCCGAATGGCCTTGATTGCCTCGCCGGTGACGGATTGACCAGTGTCCCCACGTCGCCGCAGACCTTGTGGCCTTGGAGTCGAAGCTTTTTTCTCGGATTTCTTCTTTTCGACCATGGGAATCATAGTGCGTGTGATAGTGGGTGTGATAATGAACACATCGTCGTCGCCACGAGTGTCTTCCAGTCTCTCCTTCGACCGAGATGGGTTCTCGATAGGGCGGGAGTTCTCCTTCTCCGAGCCCTGAGGTATCTCGTGCTCCGGAAAGCGAGGGTCTTGGCATAGGGTCACCAACGACCGCTTCGAGCATGGGACATGTTTCGAATTCCGAGAAACCTCTGCCCATTCTTCTTGAAACAGGCTCCTGTCTCCCGATCGTCGGGGAACCGGGGGTCCGCCTGAGCACTTCAACTCCTCCTTCTGCTTCTTTCTCCCGCTGACTGCGAGCGGTCGAGGGTGCAGGCTTGCGGAGTCTTCGCCGGATCCGAAGAGGAGAATCTCGTCTGGGTTTTTGGTTCCTGGCCCGTTGATCTCCTTGCAACCTAAAAAAGAACCATCTGCGGCCTGAGAGGTACGTTTTTCTCGCTGCTTTGTTGGAGATTCCTCCCAAATGGTGCTGATCCGATTCTTTCCAATCTCGTCAGGACTGTAGTAATGCTGCGGCTTCTGGGAGAGCTGCTGTTGAGATTGCTCAGCCTGGTGATCTTGCTGTGGTGGAGCCGGGGGATGATCTGCATCTGGTTGAGGCTGTGTTGAACCACCGTCATATGCTCTGAAAGAGCCTACCGAATCGTCTCTTGGCGGGGAACGGCGTCGTACTCCTGCAGGAGATCCTTTGCGCGGGCTTTGTCCTGCCGGTGGTTCTATCGTATGTCTGCCTTCCCGGCGTGCTCTCTCAATGCTTTTCTGATATTCGGCAATTTGTTGATCAGTCATCGTGGGTGGATTGGGGTCCTTTGCGCTCGGCATATTAACAACAAATCTATCCTCCCAGTCTGTCAGGCTATCCTCGGCGGACACGGGAGAGATGGAAGAATTTGAATGGGGACTGGAGTCTGTGGTGGTGTCTGTTCGATCCGAGTGATGCGGAGTAGCATCGCGGAGCTCTAGGGTGACCCAGGAGTCTCCGTTCTTTCTCTCTTTGCTCTGGCTCTCTAGATTGCGGAATATTTCCTGGCGGGAATTTTGGACTCCGCTAGTTTGATGGGAATTTGGGCTCGGAATTCCTGATCTGGGGCTGCTGCCGCGGCCAGTCGGTTGGGCCTCCCGGAACTGTTGGCTTCGAGGACGAGAGTGGCCATGACTCGGAGAGCCAGTTTGATCACTCTTTCTGGATCGTACATAAGAAGCTCTTTGTGATAATGGAGAGTCTTTCTCACTTTTGTCACGGAGCTTTGACCAATACTGGTCTCTTCCCCCGAAATGCCCACCAGATCCCCCTAAAGAGAACGTGGCAGAAGATGGCTTGGGAATACCGGTAGGACTAGGAGTCTGATCACGCTGGTCCCGAGATGATTCACTCAAGGTCTTGGGGACCGGGAGTTTGGTTGCTTTTGATCGGTGGAACATGTTGTCTGGTGGGCTTCGAGAACCTCCAAACTCAGATTGCCTGGGTCGATGGGTGCTTTGTGAGGGAAGGATTGCAGAGAAATCTGTAACGGTATAGTTTGCTCGATATGCTTGGTATTGTTGTGGGTGTTGACCTGTTTGGGGCAGGTTCCGTGGCAAGAGGTTCACAAGATGTACATCTGGTAATTCGACACGGCTTTCGAAGTCCATTTTGGACCGCAGGGCTTTCCGGCGATTAATTCTGACTCTAGAGCCAGGTTTGAGCCGTGAGCGCGACCATTCCGTGACGTAAACACCTAGATGTAGCGTACCTGTAGTCGTAGGATCAGGCCGTGCGGGATGTATGTCAAGAGCAGCGGTCGGGTTAGGGTGCTTAGATTTTGCGTGAACAAAACAGTTCGGGTACGTCGCGGGGTTATCGAAATCAATTCAAAGGGTGAAACGAGTGAGGATTTCAATATGTAAGAATACTATGGTCTCGTTGGCTGGAATGGTATGCGGTCGGTGTTGAAGAATGCCAGCCCCCGCGCTGGAATGCCTCACAAACTCGCCCGCCGCCATCTGGCATGACAGTCCGATAGGTCGCTCCTAACTCTCCTGGTTTTACAGAACTGAATCATGGCCAGGAGAGGAAACTTTGAATTGATTTTGGAGAAGTGGAAGGTGCGATACGTCGATCTGATATGGAGACTGCGACGCGCCCTGAGACGACACCTCGTTTCTCAGCGGGATTAGAAGAAGAATGACGGTCGGATGGGTTTCCGACCGGGGAGAGGTATCAGGATAATGACGAGGTGACGCATTCTGAAGCGTGGCAGGCCGAGGAAAAATGGCCGAGCATCAGAACTTGGCGCGGCATCGAGTATAGGGCTAGGTATGTACTTGTCGCATCCAGGTTCTAAATGCGGATCGTCTCGGTGGGCCTGCATAACACGACAAGGCGGGTGACGCACTAAATTCTCCGGGAGACAAGACATCATGGTATGATGTAAAGCAAAAAAGGGGAAAGAAGAGGGAAAGGAGGCTTTCAATAGTTCATTCGAATTAGAACCTGCCAGTTTCACGGCGGTTGGTGGTACCCAAGTTACTTGGTCTAAGTCCAGGTGCTGGACTACCCATTGGTCCGGCCAAGCTGCTTCGCTTGAGTGGGCTTGAGGGCTTCCTCAGAGGGCTGGTCCCTCGCTCTTTATAGAAGAAGTCCCCGTTATTTTGAACCCGACGCTCAAAAGCAGTAGATGCCGATTTCCTCAAGGGCGAGTTGGCATGTGAGTAAACTCCGAGGCTACCACCGTCGCCAGCTGTGTTTGAGCTTGGCCGAAACTGGGGTTGTCGCATAGATGTATTCACCGTTCGAACTAATGGGGAGCCATCACGCGACACCACTGGCGTATGCAAGGAGGGTTGAGTCTGAAAGATCGACCTCGATGTCGGTGTAGAGTCGACCGGATGGCGCGGAGAAAATCCTTCAGGGTCAACATGACTGACATAGTTGGGGTTGGGACTGGTTTTGAATCCACGGTTGATGATGAAAGTGGGCGTATAGGTTTCGACCTTATTCAGACCCTCAGATGCAGGGGTGAGATCAGTGCCTTCTGAAAATTGGGTGCCGACATCTCTCATCAAGGGTTGAGTCCGCGGGTGAACGAATTTTGTGTCGTATTCCTTCATGACTTCCCTGTGTACTAGCATCGAATCCTTTGCCTGTTGTTTGTAATATGAGGAGACGAAGGACATTTGAACGGAGAGGAGTACGGTCAAGAAAATGGCTGTCACGATTGTCACGCTGGGGCGAGGATCGGAGAGCTGAGTCGGCAAGAAGAGATAATATACCAGTACATGGCCTGGACTGAACAAGCAGAATAGGCGAATACATATTGGCAGAGGATCCCACATCGCCACCTCCCATACATCCCGATGCGCATCAGGATGCGCTCGGGACTCGGCGGATTCGGAGGACATGGCATTCGCCAGGTAGCGTAAAGGCGAGGCGATCATCGGGCTCGAATCGACTCTCACCCGGGTGGCGGAAGAAGTCGCAGGCGCTCTGTCAATCGGAGATTCAAACAAGCGGTAATATCGCTTGCGGTAGAAGGTGCAGAATGCATTTGCCCCAGAGATCAATATCAAGGTGTGAACGACGACCCACGCCTGTAAAAAGAAGAGAGCAAAAGTTAGCTTCAAATTGCGAAAACATAATGGAGGACGTTTCCTAACGTACAAACCAGCTGAGCCAGGGTAGACCATCATCATCTCCAAACACGTCGTCGATAGCTTCGCTGCCACTGGATCCGCTATTTGCTCGCGCAACGAGGAATATCAGATTGAGGGTGACACCAAGTGTGAGCCCCCATTCTTTCTCAAGTTGGTCCCAGTCATATCCGTCGATTGACTCGGACAGCCAGAGCAGAAAATCCCAAGGGTTCAGGTAGGATTGGATGCGCTCCGAGAGCGGCTGGCGGCGCACGAGACGAGGCATCGTGTTGGAGGAGCGATGAATAAATTCGCAGAGCAAAAGCTGATCCTCAGCAGCTTTGCTCTAGGCGATGATGATAAAGAGACACATTCAGCGTGAGACTAAAGCTGTCAAAGTTGAAGGGAGGAACAATGAACAACCTGCTTGAAAGGTAAACAAAATTGCATCAGCTTACGTAATAGCCAGCTTCTCCGCGATAACCACCTCGGGGCGATCAGCGGGCAACGAAGAACTGAGCTTCGATTGACTTGGGCCGAGCTTAGCTCTTAATCTACCGCCGGGTCTATTTTCGTCGAAGTCTTGCGGTCTATTTCCTCATTTATCGTGAGATCATGGCGTCAGCCGCGACATACAAGGTACTTGACACCTGGCTTATTGAACCGCCTTCCCCTCCGATAATGATGCTAACTCCTACGGCGGCAGGACCGACAACTACTCGCAGTCATTGGCGATGAAGAGTGAGTCTCCTACATTATATCCTTTTTGCATTAAGAAGTATCATCTGGAGCTTACCTTGAGTCTCAACCTAGCTCCGTTACCGGCCTCCTCCTCGCTGGCATCGGTGTACGTACCCCACACGAGGCCTACAGCGCAAGGCTAGGTCATACCCTCGAGACGCACGAAAGATAACGATCTAACCTGGAGTGTTACATTGACAGCATGTCACTGAAGGCGCAGATGCACAGCGTAACTTCCTAGTCGTCGATGCCAAGACGGAGACGTCGCAGATTGAGCAAGCTTTCCAGAACTTCACACAGGAGCGAAAGGACATTGCCGTTCTCCTGATCAACCAACACGTTCGTTCCCCTTGAAAGTCTTGGTGAAGTGTTATCTGGTTTCATCCCTCTGACTTCGATCCCAACAGATCGCCGAGCGCATCCGTCATAGCGTAGATTCTTTCGCCGACCCTTTCCCTGCTGTCCTTGAAATCCCCAGCAAAGACCACCCATACGATCCCGAAAAGGACAGTGTCCTGAAGCGTGTTCGGCGACTGTTTGGAGAGTGAACCAGCGACAGTGATTATTTCCGTCCTGACTTGACATACAAGGTGTCTGGCTACATCGTGTTTTCATATCGTCTGTTTCATGTTAAGATTGTCCGACTTTATTTCGCCCATCTCGGGGTCTGTCAGTCAGCTTGCACCTACAGTAGAGTGTTATACATAGGGAGGTGACAAGCAGCTCTAGAGGGAAGATACCCCAACGTACCCGAAATATGCATATTTCTCTATACTACAGTATCAGCCAGACAGGGCCCTAGGGCCTCGGAAATTCTGTTTTCTTTTCTTTTTTTCTGCGTCCACGACCGAGGGCTTTTCTTATTACTTCATGGAATAGGCCAATTTGGGTTATCAGATGAATTTTATCTTACAGGTAAGAAGGTTTACTCCTGCGCAGAGAGCCGGCTTTGTGTGAACAATCGAGGATACCCCGCTAGTATGTAATCCTAGTAGTCTACCATTCCTGAACCTCGCCAGTGTATAAAACAACCTTGCCACCATACTGCTCCTTGGTTCCTTCGGTAATCACGCGCACCATACCAGCGGTGGACTCCTCAATGGTATTCGGTGCCGATTCAATCCCCCAGCCCTTGGCAGCAGAGTTCCCCATTTCGGTCTGAACCCAACCAGGATCCAGGACGAAAGTATTGAGCCACTCATCTTCGGCGTTAATCCGAACCCCATACCAAGGGAGAATTGATTTGGAGGCGCCATATGAAGCACTAGGAACCGTTGGCTGACGTCTAGAAAAAGAATTACAGTCGATGCGTATATCTTGGGATACTAGTAAACTTACCCCAAAGCTCCCGCTCCGGAGCCCATGATAGCAAAAACGGGCTTAATTGTTGACTTCTGAAGTAGATCACGCGTGGCCTGGTAAAGTGACACAACGCTGAAAACGTTTATCTCCATGTGCTCGCGGATATCAGCTCGCTTAACGTCCTTGACGAGAGGATAACTCTTGGCGATGCCGGCATTGGCGACGACATAGTCGAGGTGATCCACGCCTTGGTCCATAGCGTCCTTGACAGCGTCAAAGGCAGACTGCTCGATGCTGGCATCATATTTGACCACGATTATACGGCTACCGTCGGCTGTGGGTAGCAAGGCCAAATCCTGGGCGGTTACATGCGCTGTATCACGCACCGCAGCGACGACAATCTACCGTCGGCCCCTCTTGTCAGCCTTCAGTTTGTGTTGAAAGAAGTCGTAGTTGAGAAGAGGCACTCACGTAGTCCGGTTTTGCGACAAAGCCCTTCACGAGCCCTAGGCCCAAGCCACGGTTAGCGCCGGTCACAAGAACAATAGTTGGAGCCATGATGAACGATGAAGACGCGTAACGTTCAGGAGAATATAAGGCAACTAGACGCTCCGTGTCGGTGGATAAAGACTAAAATAGCCGCATTTTTACGCACATCAACAGTATACAGTATCGGCTGGCTTATATAGTTCTATGTCGGAGTGGAACATGATTATTGATTAACAATCAGCATGTTTTGATAACTAACTAACTAGAACGTTTGTGATTACAAATACAATGACCACCTCATGTTCTAATTCGGCAATTATTATGCCGGGCATAAAGTACAACTTGGTCAATTCGGCAAGGCTGAGTGACAACGGGCGATGGTTCAGGTCAGCGGGAAACGAAATGCGGACATTGGCGTTTGCATAGGATGTAGGAGCCTAGCAATGCTAGCCTACCCTCAGTGCTATTCGAAAGTCGCATTACACCAGACTATAGGGGGAAGCCATAAGCCTGAATTTCTCAAAGACCATTGACCGCTTTTCTTACGCCCTATTTCATGCTTACTGTATCACAAGGAGATCATCGTAGAGATTCACTAGGAAACCGTCTAGGAACTCGTCTAGAAAACTGTGCAGGAAACTATTAAGAACTATCAAGAAAACGATGCAGAAGATCATACCTACGAATCGTTATCTTTGATAGATTAATTTAAGGACCTTGTTTGATAGTGTTACCGATAAGGAGTCGATTATAATATTCATACAGTTATAGATTTAGTATTAAATTAGAGAGAAAGTAGGGAGGCATTAAAGAGGATTTAATATTAGAACACGGATTTTCTCTATATTTTATCTCTAGTAATCTCATCAGTCATTTTATCCGAATCAATTTCAATCTTTTCGCTGGGGGAAGTTAAACCTCACAAAGAGTACATAGAATATACATGGAGGAAAGGTTGCTAAAAATGAGATTCTACCGATTCTGAAATTGGGGACAAAGGGTTATGGCCTTCAGCCCCCTATAGTCCGCGGTAGTCGCGTATTGAGAATAATATAGAACTAAAGCGTCATCTCCGGTCCAATATTTGTCGTCAATGTATTCGGTATCGACCATTTGATACTATGGATTGTATTACATCGATGCGAGTGTCTTGGGCTGAAGCCCGGAATTTTACAGACCGTGTTGGTCCAAGCAAGATGTCTAGGGTGGAATTCGAAACGTGGACGATTCAATTCATAAAACAATGATATCCCCATGTATAAAATCAGGACCACAACTAGAGCGCCTGGCTTGAATCAAGTCTGAGGTAACCAAGTAGTGAGATGCAAAATCGAGCAGGAGTGGCAGAAGCATAATGATATCTCAACGGATTGCATGGCTTGTAAAAGGCAGAAAACTTGAGTAAAAGGTAAGATCAAACAGATACTAAGGTCGTTACAAGACGTAGGCAAAAGCGTTACTAGCATAGAGGGGCTCAATCAAGGAAAGAGTGGAAGACTGCAACGTGGAATGGACAAGCGAGGCCACCCGGAGTGTGGATGCAAGTAGGGGAGCTGGTTCCCATGTGCGAACAGCGATTAGAACTTAATATGGAACTCGATGTTATCGGCCTTGAGGCAGGTGACCTTCCTCTTATCCTCGGTGTAAACATCAGCAAGCACAGAGTAGCGACCCTACAAGAAAGATGGTCAGCATCGTCAAGGTGATAGGTGGACACCGCCTGTTCGAATGGAGCTTACCGGAGGAATCTGCTTGGGCAAATCAACTTGCTTCGTTAAGGTCATCTTGCCCTTCTCCAAGGGGCACTTGAGATCGACATTTTCGATCTGATCACACAAGTCCATAGTCTGCTTCACCAGAGTGATAACGCCCCATTTGACCTCCACATTCACGATAGCACCCTCGGTGATGGTTTCATGGAAGGTACCCGATGCGGTAATTGTGAGGGTCTCGCCACTAATGTAAAAGTGGACTATCAGTACAAGGAAACACTAGGGACATCAATCTCCCAAGTTGTCTTTTGACTCACGGCAGAGGGGGGTTGGGCGACAGATCGACGGAATCGATCGTGAGGAGATGAGAGGATGGAGGCTCGCAGAATTCTAGAGGATTGTCGCCTTCCACTGGATTCTTGCGCTCATCCTCCGCACGAATCGGGGCCTGCGAAGGGTCGAAGAGAGATGGCAAGGAGGCCGCTGCAACGAGCGGAGAGGCGAGAAGCAGGGCGGTGGCAGATAAGAACTTCATAGTTGCAAATAGTCGTTGTCTTTGGTGTGGTGTCTGTGTGCTCGGTGGCTTGAAAAAACCCTCGATACTAGATCATAAGTCCGGGAAGTTCAAGAGTGCACAGGGAAGAGTAAAGAGACCGAGCGGGTAATCTCCAAAGACCAAGGTTGGGGTTGAGGGATGAGGCTGGTGCTGCAGATGGTGTCACTTGATGACGACGGGTCCACGTGATTGGCTTGGCTGCTTTAGGGTTAGATCGTCCGCTTCCCCTCACGATTTCCGCTGCGTATGCCAGTACCAGTACCTGCATTCTACCCTAGAGTGGCGTCTTGAACTTTGCAATCCTGTTTTAAGTACGGAATTTCAACTAAGTTGATGCTGGTGTATCTCTTCCTCAACGAGTGTGTTCTCTCAACGCCTGACGGAGCCTATCTCAACACAAGATTCTCTATCGCGACCGGCCCACTTTACTCCAGGTCTTATCGGTCGGATGATAGAGCCACAGCAGTAACCCCGGCTAATAGCATCAACGAAGGCGTAATGAGTGTGGTTATGCATAGTATCTCACAATGCACTATAGTGATGGGAAGTCTGCTAGAGCTGAGTGTTATCATACGAAAATTAGTACCGTGTTTTTAAAAAGAAGATCTAGCCTACAACATCGAGGCCATTAATGGTCGCAATGGAGCCCTACACAGGTATAGTCATGGCCGGCACCAGAAGTTGTTTTAGCTTACATATAGAGACGTGTCTGGGCAAGTTTCAGTTTAGTATACTCTAAGAACTTCACCCATACGAATAAAATTATATGATAGTGAAGTTTAAGATCTACAGTAGCTTGCCCATCCCTCCAAGGATGCTCTAGAACAAGATATATACATGCTCACTCAATCAAGTACACACTGCCCGACTACAGATCTGGATCTTCGCGTTCCTCGAGGAATACCAGGGCTGACCTTTTACACTGAATGGCTGACCTATCTTTGAATCCAGACGAGTTCACAGAACGGATACTATATGTTCTCCCCAAGAGGCGAGTAGCACAAGAGATTTGCACCCAAGAAAATCGGTGGATCTACAAAAATCCCCACTCGCACCCTCTTGCACCCTGAACCGCCTATTGATAGGCCCTTCTCGTTCAACCAGCGGGTCACAACCAAATAACGTCTCCAGCACTAAACTGCACCTGGGATAGATTTTCTCATCGCTAAAACAATTGCGCCAGGGTTCCTCCATAAGTATGGCCCTAGTTTCACTTGCAGATCCGATGAGGAAAGCAATGGGCAGCTCCGTTAGTTGGAGCCCAGCGGATTTTTCCCCCGTAGAAGACCTCTTGGCTTTTTCACCGTAATATCCCACTTCTCCGTACTTTCCCCAGCCTTACTTGGACGCTGTTATTGAAAATATGGAGCAGTCCAAGGATGGCTATCGACTCTCATATGTAAGGCTTGATGATGTGTCGGAGAGCTCAACTGCACGTCGGTCAAGGCCGCTATCATCCGCCGAGCAGGTGTTTCTGCAATCCCAGACACGGGCATTCTGGGGTGCGAGCTGGACCTTTGAGATTCTGGGGTGTTTCATATCAATCGGATTTCTGGTTGCTATCATTGTAGTCCTATTCTACTACGATGGAAAATCAATGCCCGACTGGCCCTACGGTATCACTCTCAACGCACTGGTCTCGGTGCTCAGTACAGTCATGAAAGCAACCATGGCCTTTATCCTGACCGAATGCCTAGCCCAACTGAAATGGTCCTGGTTCCGTGGCGGAAACAAGCTAAGCGATCTTGCACTCCTCGATGCTGCTAGTCGTGGAGCTGCTGGAGCAATCATTGTTCTTTTTCGCTTTATCCCTCGGTGAGCAATTCCACCTCAACAGCTAATTTGGAGGTTACTGACCTCACATAGTCATCTCGTCACGTTTGGATGTTTCGTCCTGGTCCTTGCAGCAGCTACAGATCCATTCGTACAGCAAGTCATGTCTATCAGAATGCGATCGGTCAACTCGCCAAGCCAAGCTTCCATTCAAGTCTGCAATACTAGCACCTACACCGATTACGGCGAAGGAGCTGGAGCAGGCATGAACAAAGTTCCTCTTGCAAGTATGGGAGCAATCTATTCTGGCATTTTTCAAACCCAGCGTCCCAACAGCAAGAGCTCAATGATGAGCTGTCCGACTGGAAATTGCACATTTACATCATACCAGACCCTCGGCTTTTGTTCTCGCTGTGCCAACATCACCGATTCTCTGAATTCCTCTAAAACAGATTCTAGCGTGATGACGAATTATCACTACAGTCTCCAAAATGGGCTGGAACTCAACACGGCATATTCCATGCCGTATATAATGAACTCAACGACAGGCCTCGAACTCCTCAAACTGGATGTGGATGGTGCGGCTGTCATTCTCAATTTTACCGCCATAAGCTCAGCGGGCTCCGGAATTCCACCAGAACCTAGTGCAACCGAATGTTCCCTTTTCTTCTGTCTTCTCGGATACGAGGCATTCGTGAGGGAAGGCGTCTTCTCAGAGAATCTCATTTCCACGGATATATCATCGAATGCCACCCTCTCAGGCACAGGGGCCACGGAAGACTTTTCATTGACTCCAGAAACGTGTTATTACAACGGAACTCGGTACGACCAACCACATGAGCACAGTGACAAATGTACATACAATGTCAACTGGCTGAGTCGTTTGGCGATGTCAAATTCGCTGAGCACATTGTTGAAAGGACAAGGCTCGCTTTTCGCCAGTTACAGACCCGACTGGTCCTCAGATACGATCGAAGCCCTGTATGGCGTGAATGGGAATTACACGGACATCAACTCGGTATTCGAATCACTTGCCTCTTCTCTCACTATCAATGCCCGATCTCACGTCTGCGAGGCAACCGCCAACGGAACCGCCTTTACTGTCGTATCTTATGTGCATGTACGATGGCCATGGTTGATTCTACCGGGGACATTGGTCTTTTTAAGTCTTGTTTTTCTGGTGGTCACCATTTTACATACAAGGAATCAGTATATTTGGAAATCTTCGCCCTTGGCGTTGCTTTTTTCGGATCTGTCGATTGATGCGCCTACACCGTTGATACGGGATCCGACGTTGAAGGGGATGGAGAATTCTTCGAAGAATATGGAGGTTTGGCTGGAGGCTACCCAGGAAGGTGTTAGGTTGAAGGCAGTTCCTACTAGATAGCTCGTGGGATATAAATTACTAGACTTCTTCTGTGCAAGTTCTATGCCCTAATGTACCATAATGGGATGATACTGGTTTGGGAAAGGTCAAAGGGCAAGCTCCCAAGAATCAAGTCACAGTCAAACTCGGACCCCTCCTCTCAAAGCCCAGTCATCAACTCTAGCATTAATAATGTTCATACCCATTCGATTGCCTATCGATCAACCCTCTAATTACCTCCCAAAAGCCAACGCCGACTTACCTAGTGTCGTAAATCCCTCAAATCCCGGTTTCACTGTAATTAGTTCATGCCTCTGAAAAAGGTCACATCGGCAACATATTGAATGCGAAAGAATAGGGGAACACGCTCCACCAACAATAGATTTGCTTCTTCCCCTCGATAACGGCGAAAGGAATGTCTCGCGTGGTAAGAATAAACACGAGATGGTCTAGACTCAGATTGTAGGATTCCGATCGGAATGACGGGTTGTCATTGTCAATGCGCTGTGGGTCTAGCTTCAAGTGGATTGTTGTTTAATTAATGTCTTAGTACGGAGTAGCAGGAAGTGCTATGTGTTTGCCAGAAAAGGGGTGAGATAAATATAGGTTCGTGGTGGATTTGAATGTTTTGAAGAAATACTAATGTTCTCCATAGCTGTAGGAAGCTATGAGCAGATAATATTTGGTAGGGGGTTAGGGGTTGGGGGAAAAATAGTAAAGAATTGGTTGAATGTTTTCCTTCGATGAAGCCGAATTAATCTAATTGCCACAACATTTGCAGAAGATCAAAATGAAGCCGGAGAAACGTTTATTTCTATAACAAAAATATACATGTAATAAACGAGAGTAAGAAAGGGATATTCACAATATAAATAACGATACTCCAGAATCGGTGCTATCCAGATTCGCCTAGCCAGTCACGCCTAATAGAACCCCGAAACAAGGTGCACTTAAAGGGCAATGGCGAGGACCAGAGCAGCGGCGAGGGCAGCGAAAGCTGAGCCGGAGGAGCGGGCAGCAGAGTTGAAGCTGGTGGTGGAAGTGGCGGAGGCAGAGCTGCTGGAGCTAGAGCCGGAGCCCGAGCCCGAGCCGGAGCTGGAGCCCGAGGAAGAAGAGCCGGAAGAGGAGCTGCCGGAGTTGGAGGAAGAGGGAGAGGAGGTACCAGAGCTAGAGGCGGCGGTCTGGGTGGCAGCGATCAGAGGGGTAGAGGTCTGAGAGGGGTGAGCACTGCTGCGGCCAACGCCGAAGCCGACCTTAGAGGAGGTAGCGAAACCACTGACGGAGGAAGAAGAGGCAGAGCCAGACTTGGAGCCAGTGGAGGAGGAGGAGGCGGAGGCCGAGCTGGAAGAGGTGGAGGTGGAGTTGCAGGACAGGTTGAACAGAGGGTTGGTGCTGGAGGTGCTACCGGTGACACCGAAGCTGGGGCTGGCGCCAGCATCGGCGAGCATGTACCACCAGGTGTTGGTCTCGCCGAAGAGAGGGCAGCCGACCTCGTCCCAGTACTGCTTGGCGTTGGCGATGGAGGCAACGGCATCATTCTCGTCGGGACCGCTGACGGGCCAGCCGGTCTCGGTGATCCAGACCTCCTTGCCGTTGGCGACGGCCTTGGTCTTGGCGACGGCCTCGTCGAAGAGAGTCTTGCCCTGGTCGATACCGTTGGACATGGTGGTCTGGAAGTAAGGGTAGCCGTCGAAGCCGAGCCAGTCGATCTCGTCGATCACAGCAGAGTTGGAGCTGTTGGTCCAGGCATCCCAGGTGTCGACGTGACCGATGGAAGCGCTGCTCAGGGTGGTGCCGGAGATGGCAGACTTGACCTGCTTGATGTAGGTGACTAGCACGTCGGGGTTGATACCAACACCGGCGTTGTTCTGGGAGCCAGTGACCGAGTTGCGGTAGAGATCCTCGCTACCGACGGAGATACCGACGACCAGCTTGGTGAAGGACTCGCCGTAGGTGCTGATGGCGGACTTGAGAGCGGTAATCTCGTTGTCAATGTTGCCACCGGAGGTCCAGAGGCCGAGCAGGAGAGAGGTGTCCTCAGCAATGGCGGCGGGAATAGCCTGGATGGGGTCGCTGGTGGTACCACCCTGGATCATGGTGTACAGGCGGGCACTGGTGAAGCCGCCGGAGGTGCCGACTAGCTTCTTGGCCGTCTGGAACTCGGTCTTGAAGTCGGCCTCGTAATTGATGCTGCCATCAACCTTGGAGGCACCGTAGTTGAAACCCTGCTGGGCAGCCTCGGCGGCCACAATGGACAGCGCAAGAGCGATAGCCTGCTTGGAGAACATGTTGGATGTGTGATCTAACGAATGTGTCGTGTGTGTGTGTGTGTGTGCGGGTCGAATATATCGAGTACAAGGAAGGTCCAGGGAAAGCAAAAAGAAAAAAGGCAGCGAGTGACGTGAAATAGAGAATATAAATCACAGATCAAGGGATCTTGAAAAGAACGTATCTAGGAAATACAAGAAGAAGAATCGTTGAAGAAAGAGAGGAAGATAGGAAAGAAAGAGAGAGAAAGGATAGAATAATATGCAAGAAGAACAAAAAGCCAGGCCCCCCAGAGGCCCGAAAGCCCCCAAAAAGCCCAACGAACAATAAGGGCATCCAAGTCTAGACGGCGCCACCGGAGAAACCGAGTGGACCCATTGTGGAGCGCGACACGTTTGCTTGTCCGCACCATCTCGCAGCCGATTGGCTGATGACGTTCCAAAAATACTCGGACATCCAATGATCAACTTAGGCCTGCTTGCAAGTGGACTGCCCCTGGCAGGACCGATAGACGGTTGGACGGTTGGACGGTGAAGAGTCTTGCAGTGGCACTGCTCTAACCATGTAGACTTTGGTGCCTGTCGCAATCCCCCGGATATGAGCTTTCGCTGGCCCGGATGCCCATGTCATTGCGGGTTTTGGGATTTCTTTTGATTGGAATAGAGTTTGCACCCGTGGAGCATTGGAGTGCGTGCAACCAGACTCGGAAATTCAAGTCCTTTGGATAGTCAAATCTGGGTCAGCCCCTGCAGTCCCTGACTTACATCTTGGATGAACCCTTTTGTGGGTGAGGGTTCGAGATTTTGAAAAGGCTCCGGCCAGACCGGACGGAAATCTCGGCATTGCCAAGTCCGATTCGACAGGAACGCATCGCAGGAGTGCGCACAGCTCCACGAGTGAACAGACTGATCGAAAGTCCCAGCCGGTGAATTGAGATCACGAGCAATTGGGATTTGTCATAGAGTAAGGACATCGTCTCCTTTGCGATGTGATTAGGCACGACATACTGATGACCCTGTCTCAAATCTCTTGTCTGCTGTCACAAAATCGAGATGAAGAGTGTCGATCGGCGCGAGTGATTCTCGTCCAGCGGATCCCGCTAGTCCACTTTCGGGTATTTTCTGCCTCATACCTCAGGCAGTCGCACTGTGGCGAAGTTGATCAAGCCTGGATGACGCCAAGATCCTTCTCCGATTCTTCCATGTTCTATTTATTCCCGGATGTAAATATGGACCCGCAATGCGAATTTCTGGCTCAGGGAGACTCGAAAAGAAAAAAGGGAGCTGCTATGGGTTTCTGGTTGTAACGGACTCAATAGGTGGTTGATATATACTGTAACGTAATTCCTCGCTCACCCGATCACCCCAGAACACCATACTAAATGCGATTCTTCAGGTGCTCATATGTCGACAACGAGAAGATCTTTTCACTTGATTTCTGCAATAATCTGGTTTTCTTATATTGAAAATACTCTAGTATAACTAATTAGTTTATTAAGTAAATGGTTATTTACCTGCGTTACCAAAAATACACTCCGATCGAGCAATGTAAATATATACATCTCTATTGTAACGTCCGAAGCTATTTCGTGAGCTCATAAATATATCTATTATGAATCTGTTAGTACTTATATACCGTAAGACTAAATGTTTAGCCTTAAGTATTGTGATATGAAGTTGTGGAATATTGTATTTACTATGGTGTAGTAGGTTTGGGATCTGACCCTACTGCATCATGCGAGTGCTTATTTAAACTGTCAACCGTAACCTATCAAAAACTCAATTTTACGCGGACATACTCATCCACTGGACGTGTATCATGCATCGCAATTCATGTGTGAGATATATACATAATTACAAAGGGGGAATTCTAAGACCAAATGTCGAGGCTCTAGTGCTCGGAAACGAAGATACCAGCCATACCCATGCCCTGGGACGAAAAAGAACCATGTTAGCATCATCAGGAATTACAGTTAAGGACAAAGGAGTCAGAGGGCTTCACATACAGTTCCAACACACATCGAAGTCACAGCGACACGCTTGTCCTGGCGACGCAGCTCAGCCAAGGCAGTGACAACTTGGCGAGCACCAGTAGCACCCAAGGGGTGACCGAAGGCGCTGTTGCACAATTAGTATAGAATGACACGGCAAGTCTGGGATTACTTACATAGCACCACCACGGGGGTTCACCTTGCTCTCATCCAGACCCAGCTTGCCGACACAGTAGACACCCTAAAAAACCAAAGTCAGTGAACCGAACATATCCAATCACATGTGAATGGTGAACCGACCATAGAAGCAAAAGCCTCGTTAATCTCAAAGATATCGATCTCATCCTTGTTCAGACCAAACTTGCCCAGAATCTTAGGAATAGCCAAGGAAGGGCCGATGCCCATAATCCGAGGCTCCAGACCGGCAACGGTAGCACCGCAGAACTTGCCAACAATAGGCTGGCCCAGCTTCTGCGCCTGGGAGCGCTTCATCAGAACAAGCGCCGCAGCACCGTCGGTAATCTGACTAGCGTTGCCACCCGTGGTCGCACTGGGCTGCCACTGGGGGAAAGCAGCGCGGATCTTGCCGAGAGACTCGGCGGTGGTACCGTAGCGAATGCCATCATCCCGGTCCACCACGATATCCTTAACCTCGCCCGTCTTGGGGTCCTTGATCTGCGTCTTGATAGGCACGATCTCATCCTCGAACCAACCAGCCTTCTGCGCCCGCTCAGCCTTCTGGTAGCTACCAGCAGCGAACTTATCGTGCTGCTCACGGGTGATACCGAACTGTGAGGCCACGTTCTCCGACGTGTGGCCCATGGGCATGTAGTTCTGCGAGGCGATGGAGTGCTCGTTGATACGCTGGGCCATCTCGGGGGGACCGCCATCGGCGTTGGTGCTCATGCTTTCGGCGCCCACAGCAATGCCGACATCGATAGAGCCGGCGATGATCTGGTTGGCGATGTTTTGAACGGCGAGGAGGCCGGAGGAGCAGAAGCGGTTGGTCACAGAGGCGGCGGTGGACACTGGGAAACCAGCGGCCAGGACGGCGGAGCGGGCAATGTAGGCGGCGCCTTGGGCGAGACAGTTGCCGACGCAGACATCCTCGACGAGGCTGGGGTCGATCTTGGAGTTTTCGCGGACAGCCTAGCACAATTGTTAGGTGTGGATTGTATAGAAAAGTAGGAGCTGGAGCGGGGGGCCACCCACGGTAAGGAGGGAGATCAGGAGGTCATCGACGGAGGTATCCTTGAGGCCACCCTTGCGCGCCTTGGTGAGCGGCGTACGGGCGAGATATGTGATGACCTGGCGCAATTGTTGTTAATGAACGGACCGCGCAGCAGTAGCAGCACCGAGGAACGACATACCACATCGTCGGGGTTTTTTGCGAGAATCTTAGCCTTGGCCGCCGACACACTTTCAGGCGACAACTGCTTGGAGATGGACGATAAACGCTGCTGTGGAGAAGACATGGCTGCTATGTGGTGAAGATTTGAAGCTAGGATAGACCGACAAATCTGCAAAGCTGAAAGAGAAGGAATACAAAAAAGAAAAGTAGAGGAGAACTATGGTACCCGAAGGCCGGAGCTGCACTTTTTTATCAGTCTCCGGGGGTGGCAGAAACGCGGGGAGCAAATGAGCCGCGGCTCATCAGACTTGTGATGAGAAAGCAGTGTACAGTAAGTAATCGCCGAGCGCCTTTCTTAGACTACTAAGGAACCGAGCCAACCTTGGTTAATTCCTATACGTGGACTCGACTATGGAGTACAGTATGTTGGACAAACTCCGCAGTTGAGCCGAGTCGGGTGTTGCCAACCGAGTGGAAGTGCCGTTGGGCTCGGCGCGTTGCCCGAACGATACCGTTACGCTCCGTTACGCCAGCTCCCTCGGCTTTGAACTGGAGCGGATGATTGGTGGATCGGTCTCTTTTTACTAACTGTAATTACTGTTATTTCAGAATGGTCCGAGCTCATGCTGATCATCTTGATCGGACGAAGGTTTTAAGAGGCAAGTGAAATTGAAAAGGTGAGCAAGAGAAAGGGACGATAAAAATGAATATGTGTCTATACTCATAAGGGGGGTCATTTCAACCTGATTTCGAGGAATTGCCCACTTACCGTTCGAACTCGCCAAAAACCGGGGTAAAACGGCCCGGTCAAGACTCGCGGGGAACGAGAGCCTTTTAGCTGCGTGATGGGGTAACTCCGTTCAAAATAAGGGGATTTGCCGTATCGTTCCTCCACCTCGGCCCTCTTAACTATGACGCTGACTGTCTGGACGCGTGTTCTGTGCTGTACGGCCCTACCTTGTAACGTACGGCAGATCGAGCCTGGCCAGCTTCCGTCTGGAGCTCATCAATGGACCTTCGGGTATGTTCTCTTATAACCGCACCGACCTCGAGATTCCCCAGCTTTCGCATCGATTTGTATCTGCGAAGCTCTGTCTCAGAGGAATAGAGATCTGTAAACATTTTCGTGAACGCAATCGAGGTTCCAGCTTGATATCACCTCTGAGTATCACCGTCGAATCTGCGACAGGACCTAGCATACTGCTAATTGCACACCATGGAGATCCTCTCAGAAGCTAGCATGCCCGCCGTGGCCATGGCATCGGCACTGGCAGTTGGCGCGGGCGCATACCTCAATGCGAAGCTTGCGATCTCAACGGATCTGACCGCCCTTTCAAACGACCGCGCCTTTGGCAAGCGACTGGCCGAGCGTATCGGCAGTCTCGGCCAATCGACCACGATTTACAAGCTCCTCGAGCGAGTTGTCGACGTGGAGGGGCATGGTGCGGATGATGCGCTCTGGTTTGAACACAAGACTTGGTCATACAGCCAAATCAAGGACGGTAAGTTGTTTGCTGCTTTATAATAGCAGAGTCTTTGGAAACTAATCGTTGTCTTGTACAGGGGCCGATCGATTGGCTGCTCTTCTTCACGCCCGAGACGTCAAGGCGGGTGATTTTGTGGGCGTCTTCTCTACCAATTCTCCCGAGATGGTGATCATCCTCTACGCGCTGGCCAAGTTGGGTGCCGTGGCCGCTATGATCAACACGAATTTGCGGGGTAAGCCTTCTATTATGCTCCATTGAGATAGTTAGAATGACCATTAACGAGTCTTCAGATGATACGTTCATTCACTGCCTCAATGTCTCGGGCTCAACGCTCATTATATCGACACCCGATCTTTCTGAATTCGTTTGCGCCGATTTACCACACCTGGCTTTCAACCTAACGTCCTTTGAGGGTGTCTCGACCGGTCCAGTCGAAATTATCACCGCATCCGATTTGCAACAATACTCTCCATCGGGATTGTCACCCGCCAAGCGCACACCCAAGGATTTGACAGCTCTGATCTACACCTCCGGAACGACTGGAAAGCCCAAAGCCTGCGCTGTCCGGAACATGATGGCCATTATCACATCCACCCCACTTACAATGGACGCGAAGAACCCGTCCAAGTACTACCCTCTTCGCACCTATTCATCTCTACCACTTTTCCACGGCACAGCTTTCTTCACCGGGTTGTGTTACTCAGTGGGCAACGCCGGAACGCTCTGCCTGAGACGCAAATTCTCCGCCTCTCAATTCTGGAAGGATGTCCATGATTCAAAGGCGACGCGGATTTTGTACATTGGCGAACTATGCCGGTATCTACTCTCCACACCCCCATCACCTTTCGACCGCAATCACAACTGCATCGCAGCTTCGGGTAATGGACTCCGCGGCGAGATCTGGGAAAAGTTCCGTGGGCGATTCGGTGTTCCCGAGGTGCGCGAGTTCTATCGTTCCACGGAAGGAATTGCCAAATTTGATAACCACGGTGTTGGGGCTTGGGGTGCCGGTAAGGTCGGCTTCTCGGGTCCGATCCGTCGCTTCCTTGAGGATGACACTTTTATCGTCAAATATGATACTGAAACGGAGATGCCTTACCGTGACCCGGTGACTGGATTCTGCGTTCGTGCTCGGTTGGGCGAGGAGGGTGAGGCGATTGGCCGTGTGCGGGATCGTGGCTTGTTGACCGAGTATTTGCGCAACGAAGAGGCTACCGAGGGCAAGTTGTTACGGGATGTCTTCCAGAAGGGAGATCTCTTCCAGCGCACGGGTGATTTGGTCGTTCAGGACCACTCTGGCTGGATTAAGTTCCAAGACCGCGTGGGAGACACCTTCCGCTGGAAAGGCGAGAATGTGAGCGCTGGTGAGATTCGAGATCATATCTGCCGTATCGAAGGCATTCACGATGCTGTGGTATATGGCGTCAAGCTTGCTGGGTAAGTACGCGAAACACATGCAAAAGGATATAATTTTCTAACATCATTCCTCAGGTACGATGGCCAAGCCGGTGCTGCTGGAATTACTTTGGAAGAACACTCTCCCACCTTTGAGATCGAATTCATCTCAAACTTGTATAAAGAGCTGAAGAAGAGAGGCGTCCCTTCGTACGCACTTCCTCGCCTAGTTCGGATCACCGAGAAGTGAGTTACTTTTACCTCTGAACCCATACAATTCCTAACATCTATAACAGAGTTGCTACCGGTGTGACGTTCAAACAAGCAAAGGGCGATCTCGTGAAGAAGGGATGGGATCCCCGCAAGGACTGGGGCGGAGATACTTTGTACTGGTTGAACGGGACCAAGTACGAGAAGCTGAATGACCAAAGCTGGTCGCAGATCGAGGGAGGCAGAGCCAAACTGTGAAGCCTGATAGACAACAGACTTCCTCGATAGACTCACCTCGTGTATATAGATACTAGATCATGCATGTACAATCTTATTGGCTAGGGAAGATTGCGTCCACAGGCCAAAATACCGAGTTCTTCCTACCGCATAGGTAGTGGTCAGGTGGGACTTTTTCGGGGAGTTCTGGTCAGGCGTGAAGCCTTGTGTGATGTTAGACTGGAATAGTAGCAGGGTATCATTCAACCGCGAGGTACAAGTACCTCGGTCCTTATCACCGGCCGCTGACCAGTTATCTTTGTCCTTTGCACTTTACCCCGCGAGGACTGGCTGGTGGGGCGGACTGAAGCATATACAAACATCTGGGAACAGCTCTTAGTGGGCGGTCTAGGTTGAAAATCTTCCTCGTCCAACCCCCTGCTGAAAGATTATTGACTTTTCACACTGACAGACATACAGTCGACCCCTAGTGGATATCGCAAAGCATCTCGCAACTGGCAAAAAACATTTGCCGTGTTTGTTGTGAACATTCTGCTCTACCGTCACGCCATATTTAGTAAGTGATCGCCTCTTACTTATCTGTCGATCTCATCTTTTGCGAGTGACCTCTCGCCATCTTCGGCGTTCACTGCGCTTGGAAGGTGCCCGCCGACGAGTTTCTCACGATCGCGCTGTTGATTGGGCCAAAAGACTAGTAGAACACGCGGCGGTCTAGCGCGAATGGCGTATTGAAGCCCTACGCTGGTATAATCGTTCCCTTCCACGTGGAGTCAACACATTAAGCCCGAGCTCGCGCCCTACGAGAGCTATTTAAACGTCCATAAAGCAGTTTCGCTTCCCGGATGCGTCGTCAAAACCGATCATTTCTGAAAAGGAAAGTGAAAATACACGATGGCCTCCCTTCGCACTAGACTTGCGATCTGGCTCTGGGGACCAGAGCCCAAGGATCGTACGCTGTTGGCCAAACTCGATGTGACTCTTCTTCCGTACTTCTCCTTGATCTGGTTCCTCTTTGGTGTGACTCGCGCCAGTTATTCTTCGGCCTATATCAGCGGCATGAAAGAGGCTCTCAACTTCCAAGGGAAAGAGTACAATTACATGAATACCGCGTACCTGGTCGTTTATGCAGTGTGCCAAATGCCGGGAACGAGTCTGTTGACTATCGTGCGTCCCAAATATGTCTTCGTTTCTGCCAATGTGACGTGGAGTATTTTGACCCTTATCACATACAAGATGACTCGCGCGTGGCAGGTCATTTTATTGAATGCGATCGAAGGAGGCTTCTCGGCCATTGCATAGTAATATACCCTCTCTACTTCAGCTTGAATATTTTTTTCAGAAATAACCATACTGACGAATAGAACAGTGTCGGGGCTCAATTTATTCTAGGTTCGTGGTATAAGAAATCCGAGCTCGGTATCCGAGCTGCGGTGTTCTGTGTGTTTGGGCACATCGGTAGCATGGCTGGTGGCTGGATCCAGGCAGGACTGCTGAAGGCACTGGCAGGAAAGGGTGGTCTACCAGCCTGGAAATGGATTTTCATTATTGTCTCGGTAATCACTGTTCCAGTGGCACTGTTCGGTACGTTGAGTAATTGCTCATGAAGAGACGAAAAGCTGACTTGCGTTAATTCAAAGGCTGGGTCTTTATCCCTGACTTGCCAGCACACCGTGCTGCTTGGTATCTCAGTGACGAGCAAAAAGAGCATGCAGTCACTCGGCTAGGTTCCCCTCGCAAGGAGTCGTGGGACAGAACTGTATTCAGACGTGTGCTTTTAAGTTGGCAATTTTGGTTGTTGCCGTTTATTTTCATGCGTACGTCTTTGACTTCCACTAGATATGTGCATCATCACTAATATCTGCGCAGTTTATTCCCTCTCTGTTCAAATGCTGCAGAACAACGTCATGGCATACTGGATGGCCGGGCAAGGCTATTCAACTATCCAGCAGAACAACTACCCCACAGGTGTGTACGCAACCGCCATTGTCGGCACCGTTCTATACGCAACCATATCCGACAAGCTCAAATCACGATGGGAGGTCTCCATCGCCATCGGCCTGACTTTTGTTATTGGGTCCGCCATTCTCGTATCCAACCCACCTACGGACGCGGCTTACTTTGTGGCATTCTATCTGCTGGGTACCACTTTCGCGCCCCAGGCAGTCTGGTATTCTTGGCTAGCCGACGTGACAAGCCATGATTTCCAGCTTCGTGCTATTACAACTGGCTTCATGAACTCGTTCGACTTTGCGTTTGTTACATGGTGGCCTCTGATATTTTATCCTGCGACCGATGCGCCGGATTTCCATAAGGGGTATATCGCGAGTCTAGTGACAGGGGCTCTGACCCTACCGCTGATTGGGTTGATTGCTTATCTGGAAAAAAGAGACACGGCTCGTGGTGTCATTGGCAGGGTTTTTGGGGATAACTCTGTTGATGAGGATGGCGGTTCGGGAGAGGAGCCGAGCAAACCGTTTAATCCGCCAGTTAATGTGCGGGCTAGAGAGGTTGATGTTTAATCTCGACATGGAGAAGCTTGACATGAGGCAAGGGATATCCGTACGGGGAGGGGGGAGCATAAGTGCGAACTACATCTTTTGATGGTTGTGGGGTTCTCTAATAGTACCATCAGATAGACTTGATCTCGTCCTTATTCCCAGCTGCAGTGTTCCAAATGGGCCACTTGACAAACTATCGATAGGAAGAGAGAAAATAGAATGCATGCTTTCCTTAATTCCGAAGACTTTTCCTAGTTTTCATTAAGCTCTTATATTCATGCCTGCCAAAGGCTTCTTTTCAAGAAGAACAGCCATCAGGTCTTCCTATTTGCGTTTCCTTCAATTCAAACAACGCGGTAGCACATAAAACCCTCTAGACGGTTAGTATCAGCGATTGTGTCAAAAGAATTGAAAATCATTGGCTTTCATGCTGACGGAGGCTTCCATTGACCCACAGTTCAGATGAGACTATTTGATCCACCGATATCGCGATCCGAGGCTCGCGGATGTTACCATCAGGCTCGGCAGGATGACCGATTATGGAACAAAACCAAATACCCCTCTCCGCAGGCTGCAACTCCTCACTTGCCCTCAGCGATCACATTAAGCCTCATAACAAATCAACATGGGGGACGAAAAAATCGCATCTGAGCAAAAAGGACTTAGTTTCTTCGGCCTCTTCAGGCAGGGTTCACGCGCACAGGGACTGCCGCTGATCGTCCTGATCCATGGAGGGGGAGCAACATCCGCATTCTTTGATAATCCGGTGGTCTCGTACGTCTGCTTCGACCATACCCCTGATCACATCGAAAAAAAGTCTAATAAGTGTATAGAGTAGTCGATGAGTTCAACAGACTTGGCCATAACGTTCTCAACATCTCTCGCCCTGGCTACCGGGGAACCCCCGCACCGACTAGCTTGACACCCCTACGAGACTCGATCTCGGTATTTATCGACTTCATTAACTCCATCTACACAGCACGCAGGGACACGGGCCATGATGGGATTATTCTAGTAGGGCATTCGCTTGGCGGAGCCCTGGCCCTGTCTATTACCTACGAAGCGCAGGGTCAATTGCCTATCCTGGGAGTCAGTGCCATGGGGTGTTTGCCGAGCTTGAATCCGCTGGGAATACTCAGCGCAACAGACCCAGAGCCAGAAAACCCGAGATTCATTGTCGAAAGCAACCCGGAGAATATCAGGCGATTCATGGGTAGACCAGAGTGGCTGAACCCCGATGCACTGTCCGAGGATATCGTGGCGGCCGTTTTCGAGCCTGGTAAGCCTGTCTCATCCAACGGCAAGAATTATACTAAGTAAGTCAGGCCTCAAGTCCGAGATTGGGGAATATCAAACACTAGAGCTGTACCAGTACCTGCTTGATACCGTCTTCCCTGGTATCCAGGTACCAGTCCAGTATCTGGCAGCGGAAAATGAAATCCTATGGGATGATGAAGATCCCTTACAAGGGAAAACCATCTTCGACGCTCTGGTATCGCATTTTAAGTCTGCACCGGAGATTGATGCTGCAATTCTCCCACGTGGTGGTCACAACTATGAATTTTCGCAGAACGTCGGTTTGCTCCTCGAGCGCAGGAACGACTTTGTCCAGAAATTGGTATCAGACCGGATCACCTAAACGTAGTAGCTAGGCATCGTGCTGATTTTTTTTTTCGATAGAAGACACGACCTGAAGACGGTGAAGACCAGGCGGCCTCTCAGCTCCCTTTTACCAAAGTCCCAATCTTGGATTTTGCGCAAACAACGTCGCCAACGACCCGGTCGACATTTTTGGAAGCGCTGAGGGATGCCATTGTCAATGTGGGCTTCTTCTACCTCAAGAACACCGGTGTGCCGAATGAACTGTATCAAGAATTATCAGAGCAGTCTTCTGCTCTGTTCAATTTACCATTGGGTCAAAAATTGGAGATTGATATGATCAACAGCAAACATTTCCTTGGTTATTCCAGGCTCGGCCAGGAAATTACAGCTCTGAAGAACGACTACCGCGAGCAGTTTGATGTACGTGCATGATCCAATCTCTCTGGTTACAACTAGTGGCGCTAATAACAACAGTTTGCAACCGAGCTCCCGCCTCCTGGCCCTGAAGAACCCCTTTATCGCAACATTCGGGGACCCAATCAGGTAAGCAAGCTGACCCATTAGTCACACTTCTACGCGACGTCTAATTCCTCGTAGTGGCCAGATCCCAGTGCCTTGCCCAATTTTCGCCCAACGATTGAGAGATATCTCGAAGCTATCGAGAATTTGTCAACAACTTTTAGATCTCTTGTTGCCGAGGCACTTGACCTACCCGCCAATGCTTTTGACGACATCTTCGATGTTCCTTTGCAGAACAAGTTCAAGTTGATCAAGTACCCGGAGCCTATTGATTCTCGCCCTGGTGAAGAGACGCAAGGTGTCGGTCCACACAAAGACTCTTGTTTCCTCACGTTCCTACACCAAGCTACCCCCCATACAGGACTGGAGGTGCAAAACAAAGCCGGAACCTGGCTTCCAGTTAACCCCATCCCCGGAACTCTAGTCATTAACATTGGCCGCTCCCTTGAAGCCATCACCGGTGGAGTATGCACCGCAACAACCCACCGAGTGAATTTGCGTCGAGGGAATTATCTAGATGCAAATGGTCAGTCACTTGGCCCACGTTTCTCATTTGCGGTCTTTCAAGGCGTAAGTCTTGACTTGGGAGTTGAAAAAGTCAACATCGAGATTCCAAAGCATATCAAAGACTTGGTGAAGGATGAGAAGGTACGGTCGGATGCTGAGGCTACATTTAACGAGATGTTCAACGGTAGTATCGGGCAGGGTACACTGATTGCGCGAATTACAAGCCATCAAGATGTTGCCGAACGGTGGTATCCGGATCTTTTGAAGCAGGCATTGAAAGCCCAGTTGGAGAAACAATAATGCCCAAAGCTGATGAAAATATTATTTATTCTCAGTCTACGAACAAAGAATTATTCCATTGTACAAATATGTTCTTTTCAGTCGGGTTGAGTGGGATGGTTTAGATGTTGCGCTCAGAATACTCAGATAGAGCTATGAGCTATCCTGTTACATGATGCATGAAAGAATTACATGAAGGAACAATAAGTTTGCGACTCAACCATGCATTTAAAAGACAGTAAATATCAGAGATAGGGGGGGAAAAAGCCAAGAACTAACAACTAGGCAGCGCACTCTTTGAAAAGGTATAGGAGAACGAGTCTCTCGGAACAGGAAAGGTTCAGTTCATCGGCAAGCAGAAAAGACGCAAATGGCCGGCAACTTCCTTTAGAATATCTTCGCCTCGAGTCATCAGCTGAGATATACTGCTCCATCTCCTGGAACTCCACCTCTATTTGGGGTTGTGTGCTGGGCTCGAAACAGGGGTGAGGCCCATGCGATTAACAACGGTATCGCAGGTGGGGTCTCGGACATATCCGCCGGCCTTGATCGTGTTTCTGCAAGGGTAAAGGAATCCCTCATCCATGTCCCCGTTTGGCTTTCCATATACAGCAATTCTCGATTCAGTAGGGAACTTCCAAGCCCTGGCCTTGGCCGGATCCGCGAAGTCGGCGGGGTTGAGAATCTCGAAATTGTAAATGGCACCATCTTCAGCATGCAGATCTTTCTCGTTGTTTCGCCCAGCTCCAGCCTGCCAATCCCAAGATGGTGCGTTTGCCTTGTCCGAAAGTATCTTGGCGGCGGCCTGCTGACGGGGAATGGAAGAGAAGTAAATGCCCTTTTGGGGCACCCAGATCGAGGCCACGATGTTGTTTCCGCCTGCCTTTGTCTTAAGTGGAAGCTCATCATACAGCCGTTGGGTGACAGATCGTAGATTCGCGTCGAACTTTGCGGTGTCTTCAGTACCCTTGGTCATTTCAGTGGCTTTGGTCTCCCAAGGGATGAAGCCGTTCACCGTCAGACCATCGTCTCCGAACTTCTGCACGACATGCGCAACGACAAAATCGGGAGCGTCTAGGGGACCTTTGGGTACACAACCGTCGACTCGCTTGCAAGGCTGATTGCCCGGCTTCGGCTCCGGCTTTGGAACAGGAACAGGCTCAGGTTTGATGGGAGGAATTCGTCCAGGGACGTTTCCTGGGACCTCTGGGACCACCGGCTTTGGAATGGGGATTGGCTTCGGGATGGTGATTCCAGGAATCTCAATTCGTGGAAGCAGTGCAGCCAGGTCACGTCGATCAACTAGCAAGGAGTTAGGTTTGTTACTCTATGCATTGGGGTCAAATACACATACTTGCTCTGGCAGAAATTTCCAGGGGATTGGCCAGGAAAATAGCCAGAAGTGCACAGTACTTCCAGTTAGGATGCATGATGTAGGCTGCTTAATTTGCTCTTGTAAACGGTGTATAGAATAATGGATGTAGTAGATGAAGTGTGATTGAAGAACTTTACATTTGAGGGCAAATGAAGCGGTCTTTATACACCCAGGCAGCGATTGAGCCCCCAACTTGTAGGTATTCTAGACGCAATAGTTCTTGAAGCCATTCTGACATGAAATCACTGGATGTAGGCTTACTGGGTGTTCAAATTTGGGCACAAATGAGCAACATGAAACACCAACGCCAACAGGTGAAATGATCACGACTCTGGGGTCTACCTGCAATTGTTGGTCAAATCAGCGATTTCTAAATGGCAATCTCTCAAGGAGAAATCTTCCATGGGGCCGTGTTACATGTTGGCTTCAGAATCTCATTTTAGAAAGATAACAATATGAGCAGTTATTTGGGTAAATAGAGCCATAAAAGCGCTCCAAGATGTCACTGTCAGATGATGCTAGGGATCCATTTGATCATTTTGAAGTTAGAGTTGGGGGCAGCTTTCTATCTACTACGGAGAATTTGAACTCAAGTAGACTAGATGATAAGCCCTGTTACATCGGGGCTATCGAGTCAGCATTTAGGTTAAGGGTCTTCGGGCCATTATAGTTGGCCGTCTTCCACCGCTAAAAACCTTCTTCGATTTGGCCCCACTTTTAAATCATTCTTCGATGCCATACTAGCTGACATTGTGTGATAATGAAGCAGGTACGGGCGTTTCTAAGGACCGCTGATTCGGGGAAATGACGTTACTGAATGGGCCACAATCAAGTACTACCTCTGCTGGGCCAGATTAGCTGCTAGACCGGTCTATGGCCTTTGGTGGTATTGGCCCGACCTTTGCAAATCGGCAAGAAAATGTTTCAAACATAGAATCAACTCAAGGAAAAGGAAAAATCCAAAAAGCTTAGCCGAGCCAATCAACCGCGACATATTTTACTTTATCCTCTTCTGGCTGAACCCTGCATAAGTCGCGTGAGATTTTAGGTCTGATGGGCGGTGCAGCCTTGATGGAGCCTCAAATAATCGCAGACAGCGCCCGACCCCACATAAGATGCCACGAACGGGCGTATAGATCATTGATCCCAGGGCTGCAGGGTCTTGCAGCTGAGCAGATACCTTGTTTTAGAAATTGTCCCTGTCAGAACATTCTTGATTCCCTGGCATCTGCTTGTCTTTCGGCTTGGCATATTGATTCTGCTTATGCGGCCCCTGTCACGGTAGGCTATCTCTCGGAAAAAAAGCTCTTATGGAAATGGTGCCACGGATACTCTTCACTGGCAGTGGTTTGGCTTCTGAGCATCTCACAACCTGTATACTATATCTTCACATTCCCCACACTAGGTTGGCCCCGGGGCAATATGGGCCATATTCTCGACTGGGATGTATTTCGGTAGTCAGCGACCAACAACAAACTTGGGCTATATTCGACACTGAAGAAAAGCTGGCCGACTTCTCTGTTCAAGTTGTTAACATAAGCCATGGCCGAGTCATTCGTTGTGCACGCGCCAAGATTCTCAAATTAGCTACACAGTAGATGGGCACGGGCCATTTCGGGCATTGGACCCTGAAGGCCCTGTATCTTGTTTGGCCCCCTAGACCCTGAGACCCTTAGGGGCCAAGATGATCTACTTCAGCAACTATAGCCTCACAATGTCTGACTTTTCATACCTCCATTGATTAAGGTTCGAAATACACCGATGAACTCGAAACCTTCGGCCCCCTTTTACTTCCATCATCAGATGGAGCGCCGTGAGATTTGCCATAGCACGCTAAGGAATCTCTATAGTATTCTCACGCCAGGAATATCTTGTTTTAGTTGGGGGCTTCATTTCTTTTGGTATCCCCTGCTGCTGATGTGCTCTCCAACCTCTGTACAGAAGGGTTTTGAAGCTGAACGCCCCCACGAGGCTTGCTACAACGCCGAAGACGTCGCCGTGTAAGGTTACCTCGACAATGCATGGCCCCTCATGGAAATGAGTTCGCGGCTGCTCTGATACTAAACATGGTCTTTTCGAATATGCAGACTTTTGAAAAACGACATATAAAAGGTAGGACGCTCCCAGAGATTTATTGCTATTCCAACCCACTCAACCAGATCTCAATCACTTCGATCCCAAAGATTCACAAAAACCATTCTCTTGTTTTTTTCTTCTCTAATAACGATTGAACAATGTCTATCAACACCATCGTCAACACTGCGATGCTGGCCATCACGGCCTGGTCCATTGCGGACTCGCTGGGCCATAAGTACGAGGACCCCGACAAGCAAGTCAGCGTTAGCATCTTTACCGGCATTGCACCAAACGCCGGAGGAAGCGTTCCACATCTCGCCGTCTGGGATGAAGGTGGCAACCGAATTGGCCAGTACAAAGGAGACGAAAATGGCCACATTGATGAGAATGGCTCCAAGACCTTCACTATCTCCCCGACTCAGAATGGCGGACATCAAGCAACGCCAGAGTATCTCCTCATGGTCATGCAAGAGTCTGATGCAATCTGTCTTTCTGGACTGGTCGTCTCCGGCAATGGTAACCAATGGACCTGGACGGGTGACATGGGCTACACCTGTGGCGCCCAATGGTACCCCAGCAAGCGTACTATCGGCACTTCCAACGTCCCGATCAAGTGTGTCTGGATGGACAGTGACCATTCCAACGGAATCATCGCAAAGGGCCTGAGTTTGCACATGCGCAGTTTTGCCGGAGATCAAGGCCTGGTCAACCAGTACCAGGAAGATCAGCGGCGTCTATGCCAGAACACGGCTCGCATGACTTTCCAGCCAGAGCCAGTGGTTCCCGATTCGATCCCCCGATTCTTCAAGCATGCTCCTGAGTTCGATGATACCGGCGCTCTCAAGAAGCCTAACGATGGAATTGACCGAGGCACACGTGCCTACCCCGACGGTACCAACTTCAACATCCACGATACCAAGAAGCGTCGCCATGCCCGCGACATGGAATCCCACGGCTTCAACGTGACTGGTGTCAAGAACATCCTGCCTGGCCACGTTGTCATCAGCAACCTAGACGGTCACAGCGCAAAGGAAGTGTGCGAGCACCCCCACTCCCTCGGTCCTGACTTTGTGCACAAGGGCGAAGGTGTCCTCTGTGACATGGATACTGGAAAGTGGTGGCCCCTTTGTGATGAGACTACTGGTACCGACGAGGCTTGCTTCGATCTTGACACCAAGAGTATGAAGAACTACAAGCCTGGTAGCCTCCACACTCGCAATGACGGACACCCAGTTCCTCAGAAGGACTACAACAGCCACGAGGAGTGGTAGGCGACTACACCCCTGTACTCTGTCCCAAGGCCTGGTATATTGTGGAGAGATTCCATCTTGCTCATTGTATCTTCCGTTTCTTCAAGGATAAAGTGTGAAGTTTTATTATGCTATTTGTTGTTCATTTTTGGGTCTACGTGTCTGTAAATATCTTCTGCGTGGATTATTAGAGAATCTTTGCAAGTGGGCTTGACTCTTGGAGCCTATCGAGTTTTGATAACACTGTTGAATATACTTGTCATAAGATTTCACCCTTCTATCTCTTGTAGCCTGCTGTCTCCTCTGAATGCTGAGAGCGCCTTTTTCGGGTTTATTTCTAGGAGAAATAAATATATATACATTTGTACCGGCTGCTCACAACTAAACACTGTCCCATATGCCGCATCTATGCGACGGGTACGTCTGTCGTCTTTTTCTTTCCAAGATGCAAGCGGCGCTTCCACTTCATGCGGCTCTTCTTCATTGCGCGCTGAGTTCGCTCCAGAGGGTAGTTCACAGGGGATTCGCCGCCGGTGAATATCATGAAGTCGTACAAGAAGGCTCCGATAAAGGCTCCACAAGTTGCACCGACCCAGGGCCCATAGAACCAGTACGGATTCAGGAAAAGATCAGAGCCATAACCGAGTGCAAGAAGAGCAAGGCGAGGACCAAAGTCACGACTCGGGTTGAAAGCAGCACCGGTCTGATAAGCAAAGGTCATGCTTAGACAAGTCACGACAAGGCCGATGATCAATGAGTTCATTCCCGCGCCCGGTGGAGCATTTTGATCATCACCCAGTGCTAGAACTGTCACGGCAAGGAAGCATGTGCCTAAAAATTCGGTGAAGAAGGCAGTTGCAGGGCCGATCCAAGATTCGCGCTGGTTGGTGACGAAGCTGTTGACAATGGCCGAGTCGGCATTGGTGCTGATGTAAGACTCAATTGAGTGGTAGTAAAGTCCATAGGCAGTGAGAGCGGCACAGAATGCGGCGAGGAACTGGGCAGCAAAATATTCGGGCATCTTGCGCTTGGGGAAACCTCGAAAGAACCACAGCATTGTCGTGATGGTGGGGTTAAGGTGGGCACCGGAGACACCACCAGAGATATAGATTCCCATCATGGTAGCGAAGCCCCAGGCCCAGGCGGTGGTGTTGGGATTTCCATCATTAGCTATGGTCACTGACAGGTCCGCGCAGAAGCCAATAGTGAGCTGAACATAGGCAGCGAGTGCCTCAGCCAAAGCCTCGCGGTGGTGCGTTCGAATGACTGACCACGTTGTGTGATTGTTGTGCACTTCGTCTTCGACCAGATCTTGTATCAGCGGGTGCAGGTCTTCTGGACAGGTCGCTTCGTCGAGGGCGGGGATCTCGAACTTGGTATCTAGTTCTTCATCCAGGTGTAGCTCGGGCTCTTCATGTACGGTTTGTAAAGGGTCATCGACCTGGTACTCTGAGGGTCTCCTTGGTGATTCATCTGTTGCTTGAGATCCACCTTCATCGACGGTTGAAAGCTGTTCTTCCCAGTTCGAGGGCCGTCTTATGCGGGTTGAAGAAGTACGAGATATACGGGATCCTTGTTTGATTGATCCCGTCTCGCCACTGAGGATCTTGTTCATGAAAGCGTTTTCACGCTGCAAACGTGCATCTTCTACCTGCGCCGCCATCTTCCGCGGATCGGCAGTCTTCTCGATCCTGCCCTGTTCGAGATCATTGGGATTCACGTCTAAGCCGAGCTTCTGCGAGTTTTCAGCGGGTAACTGAGCATTTGCAAGACTCTGGAGCAATTCATCCTTGGTGGGTACCATGCCTGGTCTCACCACACGCGGCAGCGGTTTGGCCAAACTCCATACGGGTTTGGCGTTATTTGCCTGCTCGTAGGATGGGTTCAGGTCGGCATATCCAGGCTGCACGAAAGGCTCATGAGAGAGCCTCATCTGAGGGGTCTCATCGGGACCAGCCAAGGTGAACTTGCCCTGTGTTCGATCGGCAAGAGTAGTTCGAGGGGCCAGACTGGGCACTCCACTGCCACTACGTCTGGCGGCCGAGCTGCGTCGACGGACACCCGAGCTGGACAGACCTTCTTCAACGGTTGGAACTCTTCCTGTAGGTGAAATTGCATCTTCTTCGAATCCTCTCGAGGACCTAATGGGCGAGGTAGGAAGTTCGCTTCTGGCCCCAGACTAGTAACGAGATGATTAGGAGATACTCGCTCTCTGGATTGCGGTTATTGCGCAACTCACCACTGCTCTCGGTCTTCTTTCATTTTCTTCGTCCATGACTGTAACCAAAAGCCTGGATCAAACGTTTGTTCGACCACTCCAATTTCAATGGTGTATCAAACAAATGCCAAGAAGAATGTCCGGGGGATCCGAGAGGATCAGCACGTCTCTAAAGAACACGATAGTACGTGATAGGAGAACGCAAAAAAAAAGTGGAGATGCAGCTTTGGCCGAGAAGAAAAGAAAAAGAGTCAATTGAGAACGGGACAAAGCGGCTTGAACGACGATATATGAACTGATTGTCTCCTCTTTTCTCCTAGCCGATGTGGAGAAAGGCACACTCGCAGATAAAGGCGAACCTGCCAACTTACGCAATGCTCGTTCGATCATCGCGACAATCCTGCTCGAGTCATCAAACCTGCGGCCAGGGAGTCGGTTCCCAGGGAACAATGACTTGCCGCTGGATAGTTAGTTCCTGTCCTGACCCACCAGCTCCACGGCGCGTGCCACTGATTGAACCGTGGACGACCCGTAGGAACCCATCGTGCTTCGCCCTAACCAGGTGGTCGCAATAGCTTGTCCAACAACAGAGGCACTGGCAGTGGGTCATATAACTGTTGAATGTTCATCTTCCGTCCTATCCGAGATAAAGGGGAATGTTTACTCCGTGGTTCTGACGTTGGACGAGGTTCACCACTGCTGCTTCCGATGGGTGATTGCACCTCAACCGATGACGTCATATAACGTTGGAACCCCTGGTCTTCATATCTGCTCCACTAGTGGTGGCGCGTCCTAATCCTTAACATTGGGTTGACTTAAATTCTCGGTCGTGGAATACTGCTGCTCCCTCTACCTGCTTGTGCTTTGAGGCTGCCGAATCACACTCGGCCAGTCTTTTTAAAAGAGAAATTGAGTCTCCAGTCCGTCCTTTGCGTCTTTCAGCGCACCGGTTGCGACGCGAATATCTTCGGTATCCCCCTCTTATGTCTGACAAGTCGCAATATTGAAATTCCAGGTACTCGCAGCATCAATATTCGTCATGGGGTATGTGCCTCTGAGTGTGGAAATCAAGGATAGCTTGGAACATAGCCATCGACAGGGCCGATTCTAGCGAATGCTGGGCAGGCCCTTTCGGAACCTCACTTGATGTAGCCTCCGATACTTCGATATTGTCACGACTCTCAGCTCCGTTCACCCCATCCTTTGCATTCTGTGCTCCATCCTTACTGTCCGCCCCTGAGAGGTAATCACCTTTACAAGTCGACATTAGATACCGTTCTCGTGCAACCGAATTCGCAGAATTCTAAATAGTCTTCTTCTGGTCTCGTCAACTCTGGGTATTTACAAGCCAATTTAAATCAACTAGTCAGGAAAGAACATTTTATCGAAGGACAGTAAGGTCTGGATTTATCAAATGTGAGAGATCCTTCACTGACGCAAATCAACGAGCGAAGTCAAATGCTCAAACGTGGCATGTATTCACGGTGATAATTGTTTATTCTCCTTCATTGGCCCGTTTGTGAATATTAGCGAAAAGAATACCAGATACAAATGCCTGAATTAACCAAAAGATGCAAAGTGCCCTGGAATGATAACACTAGCTGATCACTACAGAGGTTAACGTTCAGGTCAAATGTCTTGGTAGCCAGCAGGTCTTTCCAAGTCAGTGAGGGCAGCGTCCAGAGCCCAGATTAACCAGGCCGTGTTCTCGCGAAATTGATTGATATCGCTTGGTTGGGATTGGTTAGGTGACCCTGGGGCTCGGTGGTAACCAAGGAGCAGATCCTCCAGCCAACCAAGAATGCGTTTCAGCAACATGAGGCAACGAGCTTGAGAATCATGTCCCATCTTATCGAATTCAACAGACCGGAAGACTGACATGGTTCTTTCAGATAGAGTGAGGATATTTTCGCACAAATGACGTTCGATTTCCAACCTGAGGGGGTCATCTTTCACTTCGACAGAAAATGTCAACCAGTGTACTTTCAACTATTGTGAATATGAACAAACTTACGCTCTTTCAAGGACTCTGAGATTTGACCATTGTACTTCACTTTCAACATGATCGCGTCATCGGTAGCTCGATTTGCGAGGCAGTATAGGACCTCCTGTAGGCTCATGTCGCACATTTGAAACGTAATGCTTCCACCTGCATTCACTACTGGAAACGAACGAGCATTTGCATATCGCACGGCATAGTTCCTGGCATACTGCTCATACGTTTCCGGTTCTTGTACGAAGATTGTTGCAATTTCAGGTACAAGTGGATCCTCAATATTAGGAGCGCTGAGAAGTCCACTGAGAGCAACAAGAATGCCTGAGAGCGTGTATATTGGTGACCATTCCTTGTCGAAGAGGTCGAAACAAATCTTCCCGAAAGAATTGATATTCGGGTGGTAGACCTTTGTAAGAAAGCTACAATCTGGAGGATAGAACGGGTGGTTACTTGAAAGTTTGATTCGAAGGTAGAATATGCTGCCCTCGTAAGGAGTTCCAAGGGGCCCCTCGATGGCTGCGATTATGTCACGGGGATCATCTGCAACCGGCCAGCCGTCTATCCATGGCACTATAGCAGATGCCAGTTGACCGACATCTCTCTGAGACTTCCGCTTTGACAAATCGAGGGGTAGGTCACTAAGCAGACGCCTTGCCTTTATCCAGAGCAACAGGTCTCCGCCTTTGGACTCGTCAACTAGGATATTTTGATTTGGAGAAGGCTTGCCTTCACGCAGAGACGCCAGGATTCGTTGCCACTGAGAATCACCGGGTACAATGGGAGCTGATGAAAGTTTCTCTGCCGATGATTCGTGCTCAGGACAATTCGACCTCGCAGTGTAATAGGAGCTAATTGAAGCCTCCTTGGGTTCGCTGCAAAGAGTGCTAATACGAGCGCTTGCTGCGTCAGAGATCGGGTCATCGGCATTGAGACCAGCTTCTTCAATAAGCTTAAGCTCGGTTAGATCGGAGATGCTTTGTATTTCACGATCAGCCAACTGCCGTTGTTTTCGAGGAACACCGGTGTCCCGAGTCAGTATCTCGAGATCGACGAGGAGCTCCCCCAAGTGTTGAATCAGAGTTGTGAACCGAAGCTTATCGGAAATAGCCCAGCGGACCGAACCAAGTAGTCCAGCGTGACCTTTCACTCGTTTCCTTCGCTCTTCGAAGCGATAGTATTGGTTTGTCAGCGCTTGCACATGATTGCTCGTTTCGAGGTGATTTTGTAACTCCGTGTTGGTATCGAGCCCATATCGACGCTTCAACTTGTCTCCATCTTCAAAGAGAGTTAAAGAGTTATAATGCAACCAAGGGTGGCCAAAACGTTAGAACGTATGCTCTGCGGGATAATCCCATCATCGCTGTGATCACAAATGTCAAGGCCACATGCCTCGCCCCAGAGCACAAAACGCAGCCGCAAGTTCAAGTACCGCTGTCTCAGGATAACAAACTCTTTGCTCATCGAGCGTCCATCTTCTATGAGATGCCAGGCATCGAGACAGGTACTGAAAAGCCCGACCACTCCAATCGCAGTCCCAAGAGGGTCCACCATTTCAGGTTGTGGATGAGTGTTCAGAGAAAGAAGTAAGAGTATGACACAGAAGAGTAGACCGCCCGAGGATGTCCGAAATATAGGCTATCAACTCAGTGAGGCTGTGCATGTGCATACATGGATTGGTTTGGGGGGCGTCGAGTCTGCAAGGCAAACAGCTATCGGCTTCGAAGCGTAGAATCCAATCCAGTTTTAAGAGTTCCTGAGATAAAAGGTTCCAAAATCAGGTATGTAGATGTACAGCGTGAGCTCTACAGTGTAAGCACAGCCCTCTGGTTTATGACTTGCGGGGTAGTATGTCTCGCAAATAGCGGTTAGGCCGCGTACATAGCCCAAACTTAGCTGAGAATGACCATCAACTCTTGGCGGCCCCCTTCCATTCTAGTGCTCCTGCTTTTCCTCGCTAACTAGATTTGAGCACACCCGTCTATAATTCTGTCCCTTGTCCTCTCTCGTGCCTCGACCTGTCTCGACCTGCCTCTTATGACCAGCCTGCTCTGAGATTTCCCACTTGACTAATTAGTTAATAACGTAGTTAATCCACGGCCATCCTGGCCACACCAAAACACCATACAAAATGCCATATTTTGATTCGTCCTTATTCCAACCACCAGGTGTTCATTTCCGTTAAAATGCTAGTGTATACATTTTTTGAGCATAGGAATTACATATATTCTCTCTTGCAAGTTTTCCGAACAGACGCCTCGCTCCAAACTTTCCCCGGCAATCATCTGCGGACTCGGTGGCGCCGTTTCTCTGGTAGATGAGATACTGGATAAAGGTCCATGCGATGGACTCGAGGTATGAAGCTGACGTTTTAAACGTAACATCCGGGCCTGGTAAAGATGCTAGAGGTAAAGTTCCCATAATGACTATCTGTTCCATGTTAAGTGTGAGGGGTCGGTAGGCAACTTTCCATGTCCAGCCATTCTTCTGCTTGAGTGGACCTATCCGAGGGAAAGGCGGCATAGGCATCCTCAAGAGATTGTCTGCCAGCTGACGATACAACGTCTCCAGCTTATCCTCTACTATTTCTGGATTAAATATTCCACGTAGGTTCACCGGGTGCTCGGACGGGTTCATTGAGGCATACATCGTGCAGTCATGTCCCAGATGCTGTATGATGATAAACGGCCCGAGAGCCAGTTGGCTTTGGGCCGCTCTTCCTTGGTGGGGTATCGAGGAATAGGAATCGACCGTGTGCTCTCGCACGTAACGCACAGCAGCGGCCTCATTGCGGATCTGCTCATCGGCAAACCGTAGGGTCGCAGGCAAAGAAAGGGTAGCGTATCACCGCCAGTGGAACGATTTCAGATCCCATCCGGAACGAGATATTGTGACTGCCCTTTCCAGTCAGGGTAAAATCAACAGGCTCGCCAGCATTGTGATAGTCTAACAAGGGTTTGAGCAGTTGCGGCCCCAATCCTGGGCCAACAGAAATAGTAGATCCAGTTGTCGACAATTTCCTCGCTTCTGACCCATGCGGGATCATCCAAACTCATCACAGGATGCTTGTTGAAAGAAGATCTTCTGTAGACCTAGAAGAGATTTACTCGGATTGGGAGATTTTGATCGATTCATGGTTCCGGAGGCGTGAGAAAGCCACGAATTTGGGGAGGTTCCTTGAAAGGAATTCCTGCTGGGATGGCATCTGATACAGTGATACAGGTCCATTAACGCGAGGTATTAGGGCCCCTTCAGCCTCATACCATTGGTCGATCCTCAAGCTCGTATATTTTCGGTCGACAGTTCATTGTTCGAAGGCTCGGGCTGACGGTGAGCATGCACTCCAATAGCTTTCACGGGCGATGATCATTGCATTCGAGAATTTTTGTATTCGTCATGTCCGAATTGTGGATTGAAATTTGGAGGATCGCGAAGAGTCGGGATGGAAGCACGAACAAAATAATCAGCCAAGCTTGCTTAACAAATGGCTTGGCCAGCTTGGCTTAAAGATCGTGCGAATAAAAGCCGGCAAGTGGACGGATGACCGGGATTATCAAGAGCTTGCCCGGTAACTGGTTAGATTAGAATGGAAACCCGCGCACGTTCCGGCCCGCTCATGGCTGTGATAGGTGACCCTCGGTGGCGCCGCTCCAACTAGGCCTTTCGCGGTCGTAGCGTGCAGAGAATCCAGATTGTTATCGCGCGATCGCCACCCTCATTTCATTGCGACTGGCCTGTCTGTCTTCGAGAGGTTAGCACGCGGGGCCAAGACGGCTGAACCACGTCTCTCAAATAAAACCAGACATTCCTCGGTAACGAGGGCTTCTTGAATTTCTTCTTCTTCGACAGGCCTCATTTTGCACGCGTTCATGCGACCGGGAACGAGTCATGGATCATCTGAAGGACACCGAGCCCTCGACCGTGGAGGTGGATAATGGCCCCCAGGGTGAAACACCCCAGGTCGAGGTCTTCGACAAGACTGAGCAGCCGATTGCCCCAGATCAGTTCGATGAGAATTATCGCACAACCCGCAATGAGATCTGGGCTTACTATGCGTGCGTGCGATCATTGAGCGAAATGGGACCTCAAATCCACTAAACAAGGTCCTTTATAGCTACTACATCGGCAACAACGGGTTGTCACTCTTTAGTGAGTGAATTTCTTATCCCGATTGCAATGATAATTGGCTAACATACGGACCTCCATTCGTTAAGACTTTGCGCCCACTGCATTCCAGAACTTGCTTTATCAAGCGGCCCCCTACGATGGCATCATGGATTTCCTCGGGCGTCCGCGCTCAATCAACAGTATCGTGCTACTGTCCAATGGAATCTCCTTTGCGATTCAAGTTGTCGTGTTTTTGGTGATTGGTAGCTTCGCTGATTTCGGAAACTGGCGACCGAACATTCTTATCGGGTTGTCTATTATCGCATGGGCTATCGGCTTTGGCTGGCTGGGAGTTCACAGTTCGGATAAATGGCAGGTTGGCGTCGGACTCTACATTGTCGGCCTGATCGCCTATCAGACGACGTTGACCTTCTGGACTGCCGCCTTCCCAGGGCTGGCACGCAATACGCATGAGATGAAGGAAAAGGCCGATGCTTACGCCGCTGGCACGATCACACGCGCGCAGTATGATTATGCCGATACCATGATGCGCAGCCGTTTGGCGAACATTGCCTTCTACATTCAATCGGTGGCCGAAATCTTTATCCTGGCTATTATCGTTGGCATCATGTTCGGATTGGACGTGAATGCCAGCCAGGCCAACAATAACTGGGGCCTCAGTGTCTTGATCGCCTTCGTTTCCGGAGTCTGGTTGCTCGTTTCCTTGCCATGGTTCTTCTTGGAGAAGCGACGTCCAGGTCAAGATCCTGGAAAACAAGGCATTCTCATTGCAGGTGTATGGCAGCTTTGGCATGCTATGAAACAGATCTGGCACTTGAAGCAGAGTCTGATCTATCTCATTGGTAAGACCATCAGGAACCGGACAGCTGGGCCGAAAAAGTGGGACAATCGCTGACAGCTCACTCATGACATAGGCTATTTCTTGCTTGGAGACTCCTTGAACACTACTGTTACCGTGATTTCGACTCTACAGAACAGCATCGTTTCATACAACACCCTTCAGTTGACATACCTTTTGATTGTCGGCATCGCGGCACAGGTCAGTTCTTCGCGCAGCACACGACTCGCTTGCTTCATTTTTACTGATCGCACATGAATTCAGGCGGTCGGCATTTACGCTTTCTGGTATATTCAGCAGCGCTTCCACTTAGGAACCAAGACCATGTTCAACACAATTGCCGTCGCTATCATCCTTCTCGATGGCTGGGGTATGATTGGTATTTGGACAGACAAGTTCGGCTTCCACAATGCTTGGGAAGTCTGGGTGAGTAGAATCTCCGAAGTTCTACATAGCATGGCTAACCGTCCAATCTGTATAGGTCTACCAAGTATTCTACGGACTTTTCGTTTGCCCCTGGTACAGTTACTCCCAGATCATGATCTCCGAAGTCACCCCCCGCGGCCACGAATTCTTGTTCTTCAGTCTGTTCAGCATCATCGGCAAGACTTCATCCTTCATTGGCCCCCTCGTCTCAAGCGCTATTATTGACGCCAGTCCGACCGGTGATAATTCGGCTCCGTTCTACTTCCTTTTCGCCTTGAGTGTTGTGAGCTTTGGCATCATGGCTTTTGGCGTTGACCTAGGGAAGAGTCAGGCAGAGCAAGAGAAATTCCTGCAAGATAAAAAGCGACGCCTTGAGGACTCGGATTCTTCATCAACAGTGTGATTGAATGAACTTGAGATCGTGATCATTCGGGTTGGGATTGGAAACTGTACATAGTAGTAGTGCGCTTAGTATACGGATCGCACCGCTCACTTGGGCTATGGCTTGAAAATACCAATTGAACCTCATTTCATCACAGCAATGCATTCTCAGCATAATATTTAAACATTCCTTCCACGGTTTGAGGCATAGTTTGAGGCATAGTTTGAGGCATAGACGATGGACGAGAGAGCTTGGGGCGATCGGGAAATTGTGTGGGCGAAACTAATCACCCTAGCAGCAACCTTGTTAATTGTGAGAACGTGCGTGAACGTCGGCTCTCAGCGTTCCAGCACGCTTTCGTTTTGCACAAGAGATCCCTATTCCGTCAGTATTTTCCAGTGTAAAGGATTTCAATAATAGGATATCAGTATGTGTCCAACATCTGAGGGCCCAATACGACTATTTCAAGAGCCACTAATCATTCGGCGCCGAACTATCTTCAAGTCTCGGCGCCGATTCCAATTCAACTTCTTCTATAAAGTCTCGCCACAGATTTTCTCTTCGTCCCTAATCCTACCCACAATTCTTCAAAACATTATCACTTCATGAATTCTGTCTTAAAAAAACTCTCTGTGAGCATGCTTCCCACTACCAATCAACCAGTTATCGTGGTGGGCGCAAGCTTGGTCGGCCTATCGGCCGCGCTTTGTTTATCCTCCCATCGAGTTCCTACAATTGTTCTGGAGAAACACTCTGGAAAATCGCTGCACCCTCGTGCAATTGGCTTCACTTCTCGAACTATGGAAATTTACCGTTCTCTTGGGATTGAGAATATAGATCCTGCACCCGAAGACTTCAAGCTTGAACGTGCCCACGTCGAAAGTCTGACTGGGAAATGGAATGACAGCTCTTCTTGGTCCGATACGAAGAGAAAGGCGAAGGGAGAACGACCACAAGAGAAGTTTCCTCGGTCTTCTGCCCCAAAGAAGGAGTATTCGGTTGAGCGTGCATCGGCTATTCCACAAGACAAATTGGAGCCCATGCTCGAAGCATTGGCCCTGGAACGCGGCGCCGACATTCGTCGACTACATAAATTGATATCCGTGGACCAGAATGAGGATGGAGTCGTCGCTACAGTCACTGATGCCGAGGGTAATGAACAGCAGATCCATGGATCTTACCTCATCGCAGCAGATGGCAACCGCAGCACCGTTCGCGAACTTCTTCAAATTCCTCGACACGGTCGTGGATATATGCAGACCTTGAGCAGCGTGTTGTTCCGCGCACCTCTTGAGCAATGGACCAAGGGATTTGTGCAGTTCGACATCGATCAACCCGATCTCAAGGCATTCCTCGCCTCGTACAGCGATGGACGATGGGCCTTGATGTTCAAAGACGCCGTCGACCGCGATGAGTCAGCTCTTCGCGCTGCTATCTATCAAGCTGTCGGGAGGTCCGACTTTTCCGTGGAAATCATCACCACTGGTCGTTGGGAGCTTACTGCTCTTATAGCCGACACTTTCCAATCCGGACGTGTCTTCCTTGCTGGTGACGCCGCGCACACCTTGCCTCCTAACCGTGGAGGCTACGGCGCAAACACTGGTATCCACGATGTACACAATCTCGCATGGAAGCTCGCGGCTGTTTTATCAGGCACGTCATCACCCGGGCTTCTGAACACGTATGATGCGGAGAGACGTCCCGTTGCGCTTCTACGACATGATCAGATCTTCGTACGTGCCGACTACAAGGTCCATCTTGACACCGCCACTCCGGTTGGGGAGATGGTCGATGACGATGCCATGGAATTTGGTCAGATCTACGTATCTGAAGGTATCATCGGTGCTAATGAGAGCTTGCCCCGTGCGAAGAAGCCCGATGAATGGAATGGTCAGCCTGGAACCCATTTGCCTCATTTCTGGATTCTTAAATACGGGAAGAAAGTTCCATCCCTCGATCTTCTTGGGCAGGAAGAATGGGCCCTGTTTTCGGAATCGGATCAGTGGAACGAGGCAGTGTCCTTTGTCAACGAGAAATCACCTGTGCTAGTCAATTTTGTTCATATTGGGGGAAATCTACAGCTCGTTCATGGACATAACCTCCAGAAAACTCTCGAGATCTCGCATTCCGGGGCTGTTCTCGTTCGACCGGACGGGTATATTGCTTGGAGGATCAAGGAAATTCCTTTGAATACATTGGAGACTCTGAATGGTGTTCTGGCTAGAGTTTCTTTCAGTTCTGGCGGGCCTAAAATTTGATTGGGTGTATTTGATTTTGTCTTTTCGCAATGTTGCTATATGGGCCTGTATGAACAATAACATGTATAGTAATGGGAGGATTGTTTGTGTTTTCTAGAACTAGATGTAGATTTTATATTAGCTGTTCATTGCAATTTTGGATCCTTGAACTTAGATCCTGATTCAAACACCTCTCCCTCTTTTAGATACTCCTACAAATCTGCCATTCCTCCAAGCCCCTGATCGGGGATAAAGGAGACTGGCCGTAGTTTTCTTTTATCTCCGTTACACGGTCGCAAGCGTTACGCCCATTCTCACATACCTGCCAATCAAATGGATTGTATAACCATCGGGTTTCATTGCGGATCCAATCCTGTGCGACATGTTTCCTCAACCAGGTGGGATTTCTGTGGTTAGCCTTCGTAGTACTCGGAAACCTTCAAGGGCTCGAATTGTTCGAGAAACAGATCTGTGAGAGTCTTGCCATAATGTGGATGATGTCGTGCAATTTGGTTTTCTTGTGTGGCGCCCCCATTTTCCGGATATGGTTTTCTGATAGTGACCCTGGTTATATACGGTCTCGTTGAACATGAAAATAGGTCCTGTATGGAGCGATTGAAACCAGAATAGACCATAATTTATTAACTAAACAAAGTTAGGGACGTAGTTCTCATCTGTTCGCAGCTTAATTGCCGCATAAACCGGTTTACGTGAAGACTCATCTCCGTTATTTGACTCCAGTAGCATATCCAGCCCTGTTTGTGCCACGCTCACGGTGTGGCAGGAACGAGAGACTACCAGGGACGCGGCGTGACACCGTTGCCTTCACAGTGACTTGCACTTTTGACGGCACCTTCCGATTTGGGCTGCCACAAACAAACCTTTTTTATCTGACTTGATCCATCTTCTTCTCCTCCTCTTCATTTTCTCCTCCATCACAATTTCTTCTTTTCTCTCCTCCTCGCCCTCTCCCCCTCGCCTCAACCTGCCATCATCGGCTGATCAGCACTTGCTCCTGCTTACACTTCCCTTCACTTAACTTGAAGCGCACTCCCTTTCAAAATGGCAAGCCCCCAGCACCTCGTTGGCACTGCCGACGTCAACCTCATTGAGGCTCCAGTTACCTGGCGTGCCTACATGATTTGCGGCTTCGCCAGCTTTGGCGGTTCGTTCAACCAGTATCTCTTCAAGAAGTGCACGATTCGAACGCTGACCCTCGTCTCACCTTGCAGGTATCCTTTACGGCTATGACTCCGGTTACATCTCGGGCGTCCTTGGAATGGACTACGTCAAGGAGCACTTCGGTCATGCTGTGCCTACGACTGATGAGACCCCAAGTGGCTTCATCATTGCCAGCTCCCGTAAGTCGCTCATTACTTCGATCCTGTCTGCTGGTACCTTCATCGGTGCTCTGCTTGGTGGCGCTGTCTCCGAGCATATTGGTCGTCGCCTTACCATCATGCTTTCCTGCTTGATCTTCGCTATTGGGGTTGCCGTTCAGGTCGCTACGGTGACCGTTGGTGGTCTGGTTGCTGGTCGTTTGGTTGCCGGTCTGGGTGTCGGTGGTGTTTCTGCTACTGTCATTCTGTATGTCTCCGAGATCAGCCCTCGCAAGGTCCGTGGCTTGCTGGTGTCAGCGTACCAGTGGGCCATCACCATCGGCTTGCTTATCGCGTCCGGTGTTGACCAAGGCTGCAGAGACTTGGATTTGCGGTCTTCATATCGAATTCCTATTGGCTTGCAATTCATTTGGGCAGCTATCCTGGCCGCGGGACTTTTTGTTCTTCCCGAGTCGCCTCGTTACTATGTTCGCTGTGGTCGTATGGAGGACGCTCTCCGCTCCCTTGAAAGAGTCCGCTGTCAGATGCGCACCAATCCAGCTGTCCAGGCGGAACTTGCCGAGATCAAGGCCAATTTCGAGTACGAGAAGCAGATTGCTAGTACCTCATGGGCCGACTGTTTCAAGGGTGGACTTTCTCCTCGAGGCAATTTGCGCCGAGTGATTGCCGGAACCTGTCTTCAGATGTTCCAGCAGTGGACTGGCATCAATTTCATCTGTAAGTACACATCAAAAAAGGGAAATTTTGGGTCTTTGTGTTATGACTTACGTCTCCACCAGTCTACTACGGTACTACTTTCTTCCAATCCGTAGGCATGAAGAATGCCTTCCTCATTTCGACCATTATGAACGTTGTCAATGTGGTCAGCACTCCGGCCTCTTTCTGGATGATTGAGAAACTTGGGCGTCGTACTTTGCTTCTTTATGGTGCGGCTATCATGTGTGTCTGCGAGTTCCTCGTTGCAATCATCGGTGTCGCCAAGGAGGGAAGTCAAGCTGCGTAAGTTGAACACAACCTTTGCCATCGCTCAAATCACTAATCATTTGTTTCTTTCTGATCTGCAGGAGTACATGCCTCATTGTCTTCACCTGCTTCTACATCGCTGCCTTTGCAACTACCTGGGGTCCCGCAGCTTGGGTCGTTGTCGGTGAGATCTATCCTCTTCCAATTCGAGCCAAGGGCGTTGCTCTTGCGACTGCCTCCAATTGGTTCTGGAACTGTGTGATCGCCGTTATCACTCCGTACATGGTCGACGAGAACGAAGGCAATCTGAAGGTCAAGGTCTTTTTCGTCTGGGGCAGTGCTCTCTTCCTGTGCCTATTGTTCGCCTACTTCTTCATCCCCGAGACCAAGGGCCTCAGCCTAGAGCAGGTTGACAAGATGCTGGAAGAGTCGACCCCAGCGACCAGTGCTAAATGGAAGCCGCACGATACCTTCGCCCACGAGATGGGCATGTTCGAGAAGACAGAGCCCAGCGTTATCATGGAGGAGCATCATAACAAGACCATGTCTGACACTGACCGGGTCCGCGTCGTCTAAGGGTACAAGAGTATTCTCGCGTAACGATGTCCTCTTTCATGTCACTTTCACTGGCTTCTGTCTGTACCTTCACTTGTATGGTGTAGGCGGGCGAAAATCTAGCCAGGAACGATCTTTTGTTCGAGTCGGAGCCGAGCCGGTGGAGTGTTGTTCCAGGCTTGAGTTAGTTGATTAGTCTTACAGATCTAGTTTGTGAGCCAATAGTTAGCCGGAACGGTAGTCACCACCTTATTATCACAACTGTTGTGGCAAAGTGAAGTAAATGCTTGGTATTGGTCATTTTACAGTAAACGGGCCTTTTTTGGAGGCACGAGGAAAGGAAGGAAAAGTAAACGTCAAAAAGAGAAACGCCAGACCCATGCTTTGCCAGAAGCGCCAAAATCCAAACAACGTAAGAACCGGCGAGTAGATTACTCTTCGTCGGAAGACACCTCCTTGGACTTGCTCTTCTTCTTTTTCTTCTTCTCTTTGCGTTCGGCAGCATCCTCTCCGTCGGCCTCGGCCTCGCGCTTGCGCTTGCTCTTTTCCTTTTTCTCCTTTTTCTCCTTCTTCTTTTTCTTCTCGTCGAGGTCGGCAGGGGTCTGCTCCTCGGGCGCAATAAAATCCTTCTCCCGCTCGCGCATCTTCTCCTCGCGCTTGACACGTTGGCGCTCGACAACCTCCTCCTTGTGAGCGCGGTCCTTGGCCTCCTTGGATAGGAAGTATTCGCCGGACTCGATCTGCAAGTCGACCTTGCTCTTCTCGGGGGCGGGCGGGAAGGGAGTGTACACCTTCTTCTCCTTGTCGGTGACCTTGAAGGGCACGCGGCGCTTGGAGAGGGTGCGCTTCTTGAAATTGGGCAGGAAACGATCCCACGATTCCGTAGCAAGTGTCGGGTCCTTGGCCAGCTCGCGCTTGATCATCAGCTCCTTGATGTGGTAGATCGGGTGGATGTTCGCCATGCAGTCGTCAATGATGCGTCGCACCTCCTTCAGACCCTTGAACGGACCCATGACGGAGACCGTGTTACCCTGCACCAAGATATATGTGCCGGTCAGAAGTTCCAGCGCCTTGAGAGTGGAGCCGTTGGGACCGAGAATACGCTGTCGGCGCTTCACGAACCGCTCCTTGTTCTGCACCTGGTTGCGAATCTTGATGATGTCGCAAGCCACGTCGTCCTGCAGAATCTTCAGGGCCTGGGTCACGGGGACACTTCGGGCGAGCAACTTGATCAGATCGCGGGCCTTAAGGATCGCTGCTGGGTCGAAGGTCTTGCGGGTTGTCTTGACAGCCATGCTTCCCTCCACCAAATCGAGTGTGCAGGCGATTCCCATCTTCTCCAGCGATCGGGTGACACCGGGCCATGCTTCCTTCAGGTATTGTTCACGGTATTTGGGGAAGAGAGTCATGAACGAGGACTCCTCGACAAAGTTTCCGCCGACATTGTGTTCGGGCTTGAATTCTTCGATCTGGATTGCGCAAAGCTCGAGTTAGCGATGGACGAGGATATTTTGGGGAAGAAAGAGGTAGGTCGAAGCATACCTTCCACTTGTCAATGTCATCCGTATCCCACGACTTCTCTTTGTTGTAGGTGGACGGCATTTTGTGTTGGTGTCCGGCGTATAGGTTGGAGATGGTCCGCAGTTCAATGAAAATCCGCGCCAACTTTTTTTCTCCCCGCCTGCCGCCTTTCCCAATCTGGAATATTTGCTGCCTTATTTCTCAGGCATAAATGTATTTTAGTCGCCCGTCGGATCGGGCGCTTGGATCGGTATCTTGTACTCCGTACTTTAGTGCAGCTAGAACTGTGACTTAACTCCCACAATTGATTGATTACTACCGTTCTTTCAATAGACTGTTCAGTCATACCCCATAATACTGTCGAACAATAGAAGTCCCATGAGATCCAACTGTCATGAGAAAATCCAGCTTATCGTGTCTTACTACATGCTTTGTGATTGATCAACGGAATCGTTCCCAACAATGGTCAGCAAAAACGAAGCAGCAAAATAGCAAGCATTCAATTTCAATACGGTTGGCTTCAAGGACGAGTACGCAGTACTCTGTAGATATAATTGCTATGCGATTAGGCCCCTCGTGCCTGGTTCCTTGCTCGCCCTATTCTCAGCCCCTGGACGGGAGGGACCCATCGCATTCGGGACCCAGGAATATTGCCGGGTAGGCCTAGGCCCAGTATACGCCAGTTTCTACCGTCCGGTGAAAGCACTAGGCGCTCTGACATTCAGGCCTGGCGAGCATCGATTCGGTTCGAGTAGCATCGAGGTAATCCCAAGTTGTCTACCACTCGGATATCGGGCCGTTTGGTGCACATCTTAATCTCCCTTGGGCGCCAAGTGTATTCCAGC